ATCTACATTGGATTCAAAGTATTTACCAAATAAAATCATTGAAAGATGAGTATACAATATCATGGTATGGCAACTTGGACCGAGGCATATATGTGTCTGGTACTACGTTTATTTATTTAAACACATAAATATTGGTACAAGGAAGCACCAGATACATATGCGCCTCACAAATCTCGTTTGAATTGTGTGAGAGCTATAATACTGCCCAGGTGCCCAGACTGAAACAGATGGTTTTCTTAGGGGGCCACTCCCAGAGCCTTTGACCTAAAGATCTGATCCAAAAGGCAATGGAGCAGTCCCATGATAGCCGGTGACCAACTATTGATTCATACGCCATTTGTTCCTTCAGGATACTGGAGCACCATTAGTTTGGAATCAGGGTTTTCCAACTCCCCTAGATGGACTCGCCGTATCCACCAACCCGATTAAAGCACCGGACATTCGCTTTTCGTCCTCTCAATTTCTTAAACAACACCGGTGCCACGAGGAGGCAGTTAGTAGGACTTCCCTGGCAGAGGCTATATATTCGCGTGGCCATATGAGAGCATTTGGAGAGGGAAAGCGGACTTTCCCCACTCTCGGCCGTACCAGGGCATTTGGGGGCGGTTCTACGTTGTAGATGACTGACTGATACAATATCATGAATTGATTTAATTTAAACACAGATATCTACTCATTGGTCTAAAGGTTTAACTTTTAACTCTTGACATCAAAATTATTTTAATTAGCTCTTTAGTAGAGTTGTTAATGTATTCTACTGAGGAGTTTTATACTGAGGCAAAATAATCATTCAATGTATTCTAGCTTCTAATGGTTATCTAATTAAGATCATTCTATGACATAAACTCGACACTACGGATCATCGTTGAACAATCAGTTGAGTGGAACTCATCACTATACGTCAACTTTATTGACTACGAGAAGGCGTTTGACAGCGTGGACAGGAGAACATTATGGAAACTTCTTCGATATTATGGAGTTCCTGAAAAGATTGTCAACATTATCCAAAACTCATACGATGGACTACAGTGCAAAGTGATGCATGGAGGACAGCTGACAGGTGCATTTCCAGTAATGACCGGAGTCAGACAAGGCTGTCTACTCTCCCCATTCCTCTTCCTTCTAGTGATTGACTGGATTATGAAGAATTCGACATCTGAAGGGAAATACGGAATACAATGGACTTCTCAGAATCAATTAGATGATTTGGACTCCGCAGATGAACTAGCCCTCCTCTCTCATACACACGAACAAATGCAGACGAAGACAGCAAATGTAGAAGAAATCTCTACATCAATAGACCTCAACATACACAGAAGAAAAAGCAAAATTCTCAAATATAACACGGAGAACACCAACCCAATCACACTTGATGGCGAAAATCTGGAAGAGGTGGAAACATTTACATACCTGGAAAGCATCATTGATAAACAAGGAGGATCTGATGCAGATGTAAAGGCGAGGATTGGCAAAGCAAGGACAGCATTTCTACAAATGAAGAACATATGGAACTCAAAACAACTCTCAACTAATTTCAAGGTCAGAATCTTTAATACGAACGTCCAGACAGTCCTACTGTATGGAGCTGAAACGTGGAGAACTACTACAACCATCATCAGGAAGGTACAAGTATTTATAAACATTTGTTTACGCAAAATACTCAACATCCACTGGCCGGATACTATCAACAACAGTGTTTTATGGGAGAGGACAAACCAGCTTCCAACTGAAGAGGAAATTAGGAAAAGACGTTGAAAGTGGATCGGACATACATTAAGGAAATCACCAATGTGCATCACGACTCAATCCCTAACTTGGAATCCGGAAGGGAAGCGGAAAAGAGGAAGGCCAAAGAACACACTACGCTGGGAAATAGAAGCCGATATGAAAAGGCTGAATAGCAACTGGAAAGAACTGGAAAGAAAGGCTCAGGACAGAGTTGGATGGAGAATGCTGGTGAGCGGCCTATGCTCCTCCACAAGGGGTAACAGGCGTAAGTAAGTAAGTAAGTAAGTATGACATAAACTATATTCATTCATAAACTATGACATAAACTAGAAATTTATTTCGACTATAGATAACATATTTACAATAGTTAACTCTGTTATAATCAGTGTTTCCTTTAGTAGTTGACAACAAAATTAATAGTATCTAGGGAATGTAGTTGAAATGTAACAAAAGTTTATGTCCTTGAACGATATATATATTACCTACTTACTTACGCCTGTTACCCCTCGTTGAGGAGCATAGGCCAAACAACAGTATTCCCCATCTAATCCCATCCTGGACAGTCCTTTCAACTTCTTTCCAGTTAACATTTATCCTTTTCATATCTGCTTCTATTTCCCAAAGCAATATGTTCTTTGACCTTCCTCCTTTCCGCTTCCCTTCAGGATTCCAAGTAAGCGATTGCCTTGTGATGCAGTTTGGTGATTTCCTCAATGTATGTTCTATCCATTTCTAACGTCTTTTCCTAATTTTCTCTTCAACTCGAAGCTGGTTTATCCTCTCCCATAAAACACTGTTGTTGATTATATCCGGCCAGTGGATGTTGAGTATTTTGCGTAGACAATTGTTTATGAATACTTGCTCCTTCTTGATGATGATTGTAGTAGTTCTCCACTTTTCAGCTCCGTACGTACAGTATGACTGTCTTGACGTTCGTATTGAAGATTCTCACTCTGGAATTAATTGACATTTGTTTTGATTTCCATATATTCTTCAATTGTAGAAATGCTGTCCTTGCTTTGCCAATCCTCGCCTTTACATCTGCATCAGATCTTCTATGTTCATTATTCATTCTTCCCAGGTATGTGAATGTTTCTACGTTTTCCAGATTTTCGCCATCAAGTGTGATTGGGTTGGTGTTCTCTGTGTTATATTTGAGAATCTAACTTTTTTCCTCTGTGTATATTGAGACTTATTGATGCAAAACCTACTGTTACATTAGTTGTCTTCGTCTTTATTTGTTCATGTGTATGATATAGGAGAGCTAAATCATCTGCGGAGTTCAAATCATCTAACTGATTCTGAGAAGTCCATTGTATACCGTGCTTCCTGTCAGATGTCGAAGTTTTCACAATCCAGTCAATCACCAGATATATATATATATATATAAATATACAATTATTATTCAACGTCTTGATTAATCTTTAACTTGATAAATACCTAAAGAGACTATAGATAAGTTTCAATAAAGGGCGTATTACTCTTCTTATTCTTTATTATAATTAAGTATACTCAAATAATATCTATATTATCATTGGTTATTCAAGGTTAAGTAATCATCATTCAAGGATAATAAAAAAATTTTTTATATAGTCGTCATAATATGAAAAAGAAAAAGAAAAAGAAAAAAAAGTAAAAAAGAAAAACTTCCTGAAAATAATTGATTTTTCAAATTTGTACTTTCAAATGAGTTAATATCTTAGTAACTAAATTATTCATGATAAAATTTTATTGACTAACAACTAATGAATATTCATTATTATTATTGATGTATTTATATGTTAAATGGTTAAGAAAAAGGGGATCTGAAAAGAATCCTTGACATTGATTGTGTGGTTTTTTACTCGACACTGCGTACACTATGTTGAGATAAGATGGTGGTTGGAGGTGGTCAACAAGAAACCCTGGAAACGGGTTTTGTGCTACTTGGTACTCGTCAGCAAGGTGTACCAGTAATCTTGAGGGAACTGGTGCTCCCTAACAGATTCAATCCTGTGTCACCCAGCTTCACAGTCAGTGACGTTACCACTGAGCTATTCGGGTGAAACCGGTTGACATGGGATAGAATCCGTTAGGGAGCACCAGTTCCCTCAAGATTACAGGTATACCTTACAGACGAGTGTCAAGTAGCACGAAACCCGGATCCAGGGTTTCCTGTTGACCACCTCCAACCACCATCTTATACTAGACAATCTCCAGAACATTATATTGACAATTATTATGTACTCAGTAACGGTTAGATTCGAGAAGAAAGTTCCAGATTTTTAAAGAGAAGTTATGACCAGAAAGTTTCAAACGTGTTGGGTGTGTTAAAAGTATGGTAGATAGTCATACAATATTATAGATTGTTTGAATTAAGACTCATATACTTTTAGAATTCGGTTAAGTAATCTATAGGTTAAGGTTTCGCGCACAAAACATAAAGTCTTATTTTCTATTCTAAGTTGTGGTTATCAATTGTTGTCTGAATTGAATTGGTTTATGACTTCAATAAGATTAAATAATCTCTGCAACTCCATAGTGACTACTCATATTTCTCTGAGATGTTTTTTCTATCTCTTGTTTCTAAACAACATTTAGCTATCGAGTTGTAACTATCTTATACCTACAGCTAATTGATCATAACTTGAATAACTCAGTGGAAAAAAAGTACCAGAATAAGAAGCTTGTTGATTTAGTTTTGAATTTCTCAATAGTTATTAGTTTTTTTTAAGATTATAGGCAGGTCCTGTTGATGAATGGTAACTAGTTAGAAACCTCAGTCAACCTGTCGATCACTTCCAATCACAATAAATTCATTTATTTATAGCCCCCAAATGCCCTGGTACGGCTGTGAGTGGGGAAAGTCCGCTCTCCTTCTCGAAATTCATGTGGCCACTCGTAAATAGCCTCTGCCAGAGAAGTCCTACTCACTGCCTTCTTGTGGTTGGGGTTTGGTTTACGAAATTGAGGAGACGAAAAGCGAATGTTCGGCGTTTTAACCGGGTTGGTGGACACGGCGAGTCCACCTAGGGGAGTTGGAAAACCCTGATTCCAAACCAATGGTGTACATGGGCTCCAGTATAATGAAGGAACAAATGGCGTATGAACCAATTGTTGGTCACCGGCTACCATGGGACTGCATCTTCTCACGATGCTCCACTGCCTTTTGGATCAGATCTTTAGGTCAAAGGCTCTAGGTGTGCCCTCCCTAAGAAAACCATCTACTTCGGTTTGGGCACTGGGGCCCATTTATTTATATAAAAAATCAAAAAAAAAGATAATAAATTTACCTGATCCCATTAAACCACATATTATTATTTGATATAATGATAAACTGAATTCTGAATCGGCATTATATTGTAAATTAGCGAAATTGCTATGATTTATAAAATTAATTGGTATACAAACACCACCAATTGGTATAGTAGGATATAATGGTAATGTTGGACATAATGATGCATTGAATATATGCGGTTGTGATCTAAATTAAAAGAATTCATCATTAAATAGATTATTAAAATTGAATGTTTTGATATATAAATTAAATCAAATGTAATTGTGTATTTTGTTATTTGACATTATTATCAGAAGGAGAGTTTATGGGGATCTTAGTAATTTTTCATAGTTGAGATCACGAGTCAATAGAAGCTAGATCACCATGGAAAACCTGGAAGCGATGGACGGTAGTTTCATTCTATTGTGTGACTCCTCAGCAGTAAGCATCCATGATCCCGCCTCGCAAGATTCGAATCCAGAACCTATCGTTCTCGAACGCGAACGCTTAACCTCCAGACCACTGAGCTGGCATCTAACGGTGTTAATGTGTGACTTCAATCAATTCACGAAATCGAGCCACCGTTCACGACTATCTTCAGTGAGTTGTTAACTCACAACAAACCCTGCTGAACTCCACTAGTCACGACTTCTCATTAGAACTCCAGGAAATATATCTTGAAGCCAGTCACTAGTGAGGATATGATCATTTAGTAAGGATACTTTACACAGTATGGAGCCACATTTTCAATATAAAGATTAATGATACTAACTAGTCATTTAAGCAGAAATGTAAGAGATGAATTTTGAAGTTCCTATTCAGTACCTAATATCTAAATGATTTGACTATTAAAAAGTATGACCTGTTCTGTAACTTCTGACTATGATGGTGAGGATTGTATTGAAACTTTGTGACAGTGTACTCACTTTATAGTTAGCGTTGTAACATTCGTATAAAATATTGATAAATGTCAGTGAGTTGTAGAGGTATAAAATAGATGATTTCTAGTTTCTGATGAATATAATTAATTATAACTTACAATTCTACTAATGAATACTTGCTATTTATACTACTTTTAGTAATAAATGTAAGTCATTTCACAACAATAAGGTTTGCAGAATGGAAAAACTATATGGTAAAGATAGAGAGAGTTGCTTCCACCATGTCTTCCGAACACATTCTTAGGAGCCTATAACTGGAAGATTGTAGTATTATACAAACTTAATCGCCTGATACCTGGAGGGTAGTTCACATAAAGTTGAACTTAGTTGTTCATTGAAAATAATTGACGAACAACTGATATTCATTTTGTTTTCAGCATGACCAATGTTTACACAAAGATAAAACAAGCTTTTCTCCACCATAGTGATTACGTTCGCAGTTAGACAACCCATTCTAACTTTTTTGTCTTTTGACCCTTTATTTCATACATAATCTTATTGTTCCTCATATATTATTTTGTTTTGTGTTCTATTTGTGTAGAGTAATCACATGATTACTTGCTATTTTCATAACAATTCTTTAATCAGAAGGGGGATTTTGTGGAGATTTTAGTAATTTTATATAGTTTAGATCATGAGTCAATTGAAGCTAGACCACCATGGAAAGCCTGAAAGCATTGGACGGCTGAGTTCTAGTGAGAAGCAGTAACCAGTGGAGTTCAACCAGGTCTGTTAGAAGATATCAACTCACTGAAGACATTGGTGAATGGTTGCTCAACTTAGTGAATCGGTTGAAGTTAGACATTAACACCGTGGGATGCCGGCTCAGTGGTCTAGTGGTCAAGCACTCGCGTGGGAAACTGAGAAGTCCTGGGTTCGAATCTCTTGAGGTGGGATCGTGGATGTGCACTGCTGAGGAGTCTCACAACAGGACGAAACGGCCTTCCAGTGCTTCCAGATTTCCCATGGTGATCTAGCTTCCATTAACTCATGATTTCAACTATATAAAATTCCTCAACCATTTTTTTATTAAATTTGATAATCAGTAACTTTTACATCATTATCTTTTCTATTCTGTGTTGTTACTATTCACAACATATAAATACTATGGTTAATCATATATTTCGTATTCTGTCCTCCTCCTCCTTCTTCTTCTTCTTATGATTTCTGGTTCCTTTAGGAAAGTATTCATCTAAACTTCATTGTCTAAAGTATGTTTAATCTTATTGTATATTTACATTATTCATAGTTATTTTAGGGTGTTTACAACTAATGAAAGGCTATAAAATAAAACGTTTGAAACGTCTAAACTTTTTCCCCTTGTCTTATCGTAGGACACAAGGTGACCTTATACTGGCATTTCGTATCTTTAATTATGATTTGGGTGTTATTATATTTTATCTTTTTGCTCCCTCCAGCACTACTAATCTCCGGGGTCATAGCAAGAAGGTTCACAAACCGCGATCTAATAAACTAAAGGTGGAGTCCCGTTTTTCGCATCGAGTGGTCAATGACTGGAACGTATAACTCGAACAAGTGGTATCAGTCCCGTCAGTGAACATTTTTCAAGGAGAAGCTGGACCTTCATTGTAAGGTAATCTGTCAGGATTAACACAGGTTCATCAACCTACTATTCTTATTATTAAAGACTGGAGGCTAGTTTCATTTTAAAGAAATCTACAATTTCAACGTCAATCTATACACCTAGTTGAGGCACTACATTCATTATACAAATCATGTTCATAATTCAATGAAAACAAAATACCGATACTTGACATATATATGTACATTTATAATCTTTTTGAATTTTACATAGTTTGTTCCAGGTTCAAGTCTCAGTACGAATATTATAAATGAGGTCTTAAATTATTCAGCTGATTGATTCTGCAAACAGGATAAATTTCATGCTTTGTATTCACCTAATACTTATTATCCAGGATATACTAGAATTATTAAATTTATTCAGTAAATAATAAAAGATTATGTAAATAGGAAAATGAATGATCGTAAAGCAATTCCACTTTTACTAGTCATATTAACAGAGTTCCAAATAGGGAGATTAATTTTAATGAATAAATAATCCTATTTCTTTTTAAATAAGTTTTAAAGTTACTAATTTGTTTATCTACAAATCAGTGAATGCCTTTGATTAAAACAAGTACCAATATATTAAATGGATAATAAGCTATAAACATTTTTTCCAGAATTATTGATACTATAAGTTTATGTCGATTAAATTAAATAAAGTATAAATTCAACTTAGTATTGTTTGTTTGAATCTTCCCATCGATTTGTTAGGACTGCAACTGGTCAGTCTCTAATTGGCATATGTGCATACTGTGCGTATTGCCTCGATATACCTTAATTCACAAGCATGGTTAGCAGAGATGGATAGTGGCTAGCAGTGGAATCCAGGACGCGCGTTTCGTCCTATTTGGGACTCGTCAGCTGGATGTACCTGCATCTCAGAGTTGATGTTCACTCTGGGATTCGAACCCAGCACCCTCGCTTCAAACGCCATCGCATTATCCACTCGGCCACTGAGTACTGATAACCACTTGCTTGTGCGATGGGGTGAAGTTTAAATTCAACTTAGTATTGTTTGTTTGAATCTTCCCATCGATTTGTTAGGACTGCAACTGGTCAGTCTCTAATTGGCATATGTGCATACTGTGCGTATTGCCTCGATATACCTTAATTCACAAGCATGGTTAGCAGAGATGGATAGTGGCTAGCAGTGGAATCCAGGACGCGCGTTTCGTCCTATTTGGGACTCGTCAGCTGGATGTACCTGCATCTCAGAGTTGATGTTCACTCTGGGATTCGAACCCAGCACCCTCGCTTCAAACGCCATCGCATTATCCACTCGGCCACTGAGTACTGATAACCACTTGCTTGTGCGATGGGGTGAAGTTTAAATTCAACTTAGTATTGTTTGTTTGAATCTTCCCATCGATTTGTTAGGACTGCAACTGGTCAGTCTCTAATTGGCATATGTGCATACTGTGCGTATTGCTTCGATATACCTTAATTCACAAGCATAGGACGAAACGCGCGTCCTGGATTCCACTGCTAGCCACTATCCATCTCTGCTAAATAAAGTATATTTTTACCTATGAACTAAGAGTTGAGGAATGAGACTTAATTCATTAGACTATTGAACTATGTCTTTACAACGATTACGTCTTAAAAGTTAATAAGTCCATATGAATTTCACTTTTTTTTTTTAAATATTTACTGGAAACACTTTGTACGATGTGACAATCACAAAAATTGAAATCGATCAAATATTCATTTTTTTTAAACTAAATAAAAACTTAAATTAAAATAAACCATTGATTTATATAGTTAACTTCATCATTACAGTTAAAAATTTCTCAAAGATATTCTAGTTTGGTTGGTTTCCTACAGAAAGAACACTGTCAAAGGTTATCAGAAGGGGTTTTTTTGTGGAGATTTAGTATTTTCAGTGGTCTATCGGTTAAGTGCGCGAGACTGGAAGGTATTGGGTTCAAATCCCGCGAGGTGAGGTCGTGGATGAGCACTACTGAGGAGTCCCACAATAGGACGAAACGGCCGTCCAGTGCTTCCAGGTTTTCCCTGGTTGTCTAGCTTGAATTGACTCACGCTTTCAACTGTCTAAGATATTAATCTGGATGTAAATGTGTAGTCAGTTTCATATTATAGCTCTAATAAATGGTCAGCATGTAGACCAGTTACATGTAAGAACATAAGTTCTGTTGACGCCTTATATACAAGCGTTTACAGTTCACTTAATCATCTTAAAAAGCAAAAACGGTACCTCTTAGTATTTTCATACAAGATAAATGCAGAACTATAAAACCTGTTTAAGGATTGTGATAATAGTTACCTATAAGTGATTAAATTTTACTACCTATTTCCTCTGTTAAAAAACCATTATCTTCCTTACATAGTACTTAGTTGAATATTAATCCAGTTAGACTGTGATTGAGTACTGTGAAATTCCATTCAATGATTTGGAGATATTAAATGATAAAATTAATTTCTAAGAGAATTAAAAGTTCATTCATTCCACATTATTAAAGTCGTTTGAATACGTTTTCTTAAGTAGGCACTTCACACCAAATTAGGTATTCACTTTTAGTTCACATATCCCGTGATGTTTTGTCAAACAGTTAAGTGGTCAACTTGCATAAATTCAATTATCATATGACGAAAGTGCAAGAAGAACTGTAGTGTTTGTATAAACTAATAATTGTACTTGATGACTGCCTGACTTCGAATTCCAATTACATTAAGTTCGTCCGTGCTCACCTAGTTCTTCTTGGTTAAATCGCGTTATTTCTGGGATTCCTAGTTTGTGCAACAATTCAAATATTCTTAATCATCATAGAACTTTACAGCATAATCCATCTTAGTAACTGAACTCTATAATCTAAGAAAGACATATAGAGTGGGTTCATGTGAAACATTGTCGCCATTTTTAGGCCATGTCACCCAACATCTTCAGCGTCTGATTATGATCATCATGTGTATCTTAATCAGGTAACCAGCATTTAGCTATATAGCTCGGGTTAATAGTCGATAAACTAATGAAATAATGTTATATTATGGGTTTGAGGGTCTTTAAATTACTTCTAACCTACCTCTACGCTGTAAAGATGAGTGGTGGTTGGATATATAAAGTATATGTCCCAACCATTTCAGTAGATGAAAATTCTAAACCTTATCAACCAGTTATCCTTTTTTAGCCATCCCTAATCTTAACTACCTCACTCTAAATGATAATAAAACTGGTTCTGAAGTAGAATTTTATACTATGAGAAAGAGAAATAAACCTCAAATATGCTTGGACAGTTACTAAATGTGTTCAGAAGACTCTGCACTATGCTAGTATTGTAGGGATGTTTCAACTAACTAAAAAAACCTAGCACATCAACTTACTTTTGAATGACAAAAATCATTGAAAGATTCGAATACTGAGTAAACACTAATGAAATAAGGAGTTCTAGTTGTAAGTTGTATCACATGTTTAAAACCTATGAAGTTGTTCTAAACACAGCATTAAGTGTGTCGCATATATTTATATAGAGAGAAAACACAAAACTCTCTCCCAGGGCTCAATACTAGGACCTCTTCTTTTCTTGATTTATATTAACGATCTTACTGAACAAGTTTTATCTGACTTATTGCTTTTTGCTGATGATGTGAAACTTTGGAGGGAGATACGTAATCATAATGATATACTAGTTCTTCAGGAGGATCTGACCCGACTTCAAAGTTGGGCAGACGACAACGGTCTTACCTTCAACATTTCAAATTGCAAGGTAGTCCATCTGAGACATGTTGCAGACTATAGTTATAACTTAGGTAACTCCCCTCTAGAAGTTTCCCAAGTTGAAAAAGATTTAGGAGTGTTGGTACCCTACGACCTGAAATCGTATGCGGACTGTGACAAAAACGCCTCTCAAGCAAACCTTGCATTGGTAACATTGAAGCTCATTTTTGGCCAGTTTGACGATAGAACCTTCCATATAATCTTCAACAGTTTTATTCGTCCCCATTTAGAGTACAGAAACATAGTATTTCCTCCCTCCCTCCAAAAGGATAAGGACACTCTGGAACGCATACAACGTCGAGCCACGAAATCAGTTCGGAGATTCAAACCTTATGAAGAGCGCCTCAAATCACTTAACCTTTACACGTTAGAGTACAGGAGTCTTAGAGGTAATCTTCTTATGACTTACAGTATCCTTAATACTTCTGGTCATCCCCTTAAACATCTTCTTAAGCTTAGTCATAACACTAACCTGAGAGGTAACACCCAGAAATTGGAGACCCAAGATAGCAGAATAGACTGTAGACACAACTTCTACTTAGTTAGAGTTGTCAAGTGCTGGAATTGGCTGCCGACTGAGCTAGTCCAAGTGACGTCCCAAGAGTCCTTTGAGAGGAAACTGAACTTATTCTTAAGTACTAAGGATAACATATTATTATGATCTATCAAATTCTTTTTTTTCCTCTATTATCGTTCATATACCTAGGTTCTTACCTGGAGGTATTCGTGATCCACTGCTACCAGACACGGAAGCCCGTCAAGCGAAAGCTTCTTCTATTCCGTCCTTAACCATTTAAACCATTTAAATAGTGTACAGTTTTTACAACAAACATATATACCATTAAATATTTTGGTCTGAAAATATTATACATAGTAAAACGGATTCTATAAATTGTTCTGTTCATATGACTGTCCCGTATTATTTCATACCTACGTTATAACAGTCAACCGAAAAAATATCCACTGAATAAGCAAACCTAGAGTATCGCTCATAACCGAAATAAGCTAAGTAATGCTTAGTGAGTTTTTGCAACAAGTTGAGATGAAAACGATTGTTGTAAATATATAAGTCTATAAAAATAATCCGTTTTTAAAAAGAGTAGAGGACAAAAGGTAGACAAAAACTTAGCTTCTTTGCTGTCACCACAATGCACGAATCGCACTACTAAGTAAACATACTAAGTAAACACTACCTATATCATGATAATTATGAAATGGTTCAAAATCTCGGATTGAAAACCGACTTTTAAAAATGGCTAGTAGCCCTTAATCCTCGTTTATAAGCGTCTTCGATCACTTTTAGTCTTATAATGCGCTCTTTCATTGAACGATACATTTAATGTTCTCTTCTTTTGTAATCGCATTATAACACTCCAAACTAAAGATTTTGGTGTTCTTTTAATTTTCCTGGATAGCTTCTTTCATGACTTTATTTTATAGAATGGACCACCAACCCATACCTAACCCTCTCTTTTTACTAAAGCCTGGGACCGGCAGTTACCACAGAAGGATTCCAGGTGGAGTACAAACAACAAAATATTTCAATTACTGTGACAGTTCCTCTTGAATTTCGTAACAATTAACTTTAAAATAGGTTGAAAGTACTTTTATAAAGACAAGTTTTTAGATGTTATGTAGATATTATATACAATTATTTGATTGAAACAAATAAAAAATAGGTGACTTTATTGAAATTTTCGAAGACTAAGTAAACAGAATTTTCAACCAACATGTTGAATACGTATAACCCTGCATATACATCGTATAGATAATATGTTTTTTGAAAAAACGTCTCTAACTGATGAAGTGAGAGCAACGGCTAGGTCTTACATTGAAAATTTCGTAGAAAAAAATGTTAAATAAATGTTGTTTAACTTACTCATAAAGCAGAGGAGGGATCCTTGGATCACACAACAATACACCAGTTGAGTTTATAAAATTTGCGAGCCGTTTAGAAGAGTTTATGTAGTGGTCCGGACATCTTTGAACACAAACAGGTACAGATAATACCTTGTCTTCAAAATTAGTGTGTAGCAAGTATCTATAAATAAACTATATTCTGTCCCTTACTTATACTTTGAAACGTTGAATTTCATAAACAAAAGTGGTTTGAGATTTTTTTCACTGCCACAAACGTTACCATTACAGTCGTAATTGCTGAAAAGTATTTCTAAATCTGATAATACTATCACGTAAACCCAAAGACCAATCTATTGTACGTTTGTTAAAATGCAAACAAGAACCTTACTATGACGAAGCTAAGTGATACGAATATAACACCAAATATTTTATTTGTAAATTTGGATTCAAGCGATTCCTCATTGTACATCGTATTACCGCTGCCTCATAATTGACCTTAAATTTGACGCTTCCGCAAATATGATCTATGGAAATTAGTACACAAAAAGTAGAAACTTTGAGAACTCCAAAGAATAAGTCATTAAGAACATTTTCAGAGCATACATTCCTTTATCTTAGTTAGCCGCAGATAAAAACATAGGATTCTTATTTTAATTTGAGTGGGCAAATTATCGGTATCAGTCTTCAGTCTTAGGTAAGAAAGATAGTAGGATGGTGTATCTACGTTGATCCTTACAGTTTGCTTTCCAGTGAAGGTTCGACTTCTCCCTGAAAATGTTCACTGATGTGGCTGATACCAGTTGATCGGGTAAGGGGTTGTAGTCATCGGTCACTATGCGAAAAATGGAACCCCACTTTAAGTTCATGAGATCGCGGTTTTTGAACCTTCTTGATGTAACCTCGAAGATTATTAGTGGTAGATAGAACAACAGGATAAGATATTAAAGCTTAAATGGTAATTAAAAAAACAAATGTCAATATAAGGTTACCTCGCGTCCTACGATATGACAAGCGGAAAAGGTTTAGGCGTTTTAAGTGCTAATCAAAGGGGAATTTAGAAAGATCTTTCACTAATTTTGTTCCCACACATTGAACACGCTTAGGTGAGTTAGTATCCTTAACCACACATGGGCTAGCTACTTGGGTACAGTACTTTAAATGTGGTCTTAGATGAATTTGAATGCTCGGCGAAGTGACCTTAACTCACAAAACGTTTTGCAGCTAGTGCGTTGTAGTGCGTAGTTGTTTTCAAATAGTGACTCACTACTACCCCTAGGTCTTTGTGTTCCTGTGTGGATGGATTAGGTGTACCGTCGATAGTATACTGAATAATGTTTTCATATCAGATGTTCATGAGCACACTCTTTCTAGAATTAAGTTTAAGCCCCAGAATTGAGACCATCAAACCAATTTGTCTAGGTCAGCTTAAGGATCGAAACGATCAGCCTCACTTCTGACTGTTCTCCAAATTGTGACATCATCTGCACAAAATAATGCCGATGACTTAGGGAACAGCGGTAATTCATTGACGTAGAGAAGGAAGAGTAGGAAACCTAAGGTGGTGCCTTCAATTACGCCACTTTTGACCATCTTCCATTCCATCAACCCGCACTCTCCGTCTGTGATCACATAAGAAGTTTCCTGTTCATTCATATACAGCATCTATTATTCCTAAGGTATCGTTAAACATCGGACCGACCGTAGAATCTTTCCAATTTCTAGGGTGTTGAGTGTGGGAAAGGTGGGTGTTGAAGAGGATCGTGAGCGGTTTTGAAATAATGTCTGAGAGGGATGACATTTCTTGGATGCAACCAATCAGGGACAGACATCTTACTAGGTTTAAGGTTAGTGATCGATCGAAAAGCAATTTCCCGTATCCAAGTGGTGTGATTATGATGTAGAACATCAACGTTAATGATCTATGTCGAATGATTGGAGGCCTACTCGAGTAAGACGGGAACGGTGTAACGAACGAGCTAACTTCGAGGCCACACCTCGCAACCAGCACCTTACCTGGATTGCCCCATCGACGTATCAAGGGATCATGGATGCTCTGAAGACTGTTCAACACAAAGGACGTTATTACAAAAATATAATAATTAATTTAGATACAAACGAAAATAGAACCACTGTTGCATGAGTCAGTCCATGGTATATGATCAACTGATGCGCGTTGACTGTCCTTAGCCTTGACAGGGATCGATGATCTGTTCCATATTCGGTGACCAAACTGCCGGATGATTTGGCTAAGGTTCAGTGACATTTCACTACTCCTACAATGACAAGTATTTCTAACAATACCAATCCAGTAAACTTCGCCGAAATAGTTCGAAAAAGTCTTAGCTTTTACCAAATCTGATTCATCTGGTACATCTAAATTTTCGTCTAACAGTAATGAAGAGATACCATCACTATGGTTTGTCCTTTGTTTTACTCTCGAAAACAACCGTTTCCGGCAAGTACGACTATCAAATGCCAACTATGGCACGTTATCTAGCTATGGCGTTTTTACACATTCCGGATTTGTCTATATTCACACTTAAATTATTCTTGTCCTGTTCATAAGAATAACACCCAAAGGTGTTTCAACAGCTTTCGGGTTTCCTTGTTAGTTAATAGCGGGCAATTTGACAGCCTACGTGTTGACCATAGGATAAAGGGCGATGTTACAAGATGGAATGTAGCTTCAAGCTTATCTTATTTATCTTTTATCTATCCATCAGCATCGACTGACCAGTCAGTCGAGATAGCACAAGCTCTGGTTGCCTGAATATTAGCTCGGCAGCTATTGAGACGGGGTGGAGCAGATACAAATTGTATACCATGTGTTCGAAAATTAAAGGAGAGTGCAACGTGATCACTACTCGCTAGTGAGGTGGTGAATGTCAGTGACACCATCACAAAGGTCTAGCAATGACGGGTCATGTTCTAAGTCAATATGTATCGGTTTTGCGATGCAATGTACACCGAATAATGGTTGATAGAAAGTTGCTATCGATACATCCATCTGAAGCCGTAGGCTCCATCTAGCTGAAATGCTGTGCGTTGAAGTCTCCAATGATGAGACAACATTCATCCTTACTCCAAGAATAGATTTGGATAAAGGTAGGTTGTCAGCAAGACAACGTGAACGATGGTATGTTCTCTCAATTGTCGCTAAACCGCGTTCATACTGAATTGTACAGCAAGCTACCTCACATGTAACACCAACATACTCCTCCTTTGTGATTGATTGTATACAAAAGTGATCCCTAACACATAACATTGTGCTTTCTACTTTGCTTTCTTTTGTGCACCCCCGAAACCCCTTCTGTCAATACATTTCTGATGAAAGCTTCTACTAAATCATGATCGTTTGCATGCCTTCTAGCAAGGTCATTGTCTTTCGACTCCTGCAGATCCTAAACAATTGATTTGGAACGGATTTAACTTCTTTGAAAGTTACATTCACGGTTTTCAATAGTGACGTCGTATTCTGACTGTTAACTACTGGGAGCTCACCATTGGTTTTTTATAAGACGGAGTCGTGTGATTTAAGAGAATTAATCACGACAATGTTTGATGAGGCCGAACGTTTTTCATCTACGATATGGTTAAACATTGTCTTGCTTTAGGAATTTGGTGGAGTAATCTGCAACTCAGACTGTGTGTTCACCATGGACTTTTCGGTTGAACAGGCGCCGTTTGGGGATATCTTTGCTTCTCTTCTTTGTTTCCGAACTATACAATACCCATCAGTCACGGTATCCACACTGGGACTACCAAGGATGTTGACGGTTTTATCTAAGTCATCAGTGGCTGCTGTAGCAATTTAATGATCATTATCAAGTGTTTCACACTTTTGCTGTTTTAAGAGATAAATCCCCACTGCGTGTTTAACAGTCGGGCGTCTGGCGAGTAGCAGCACTGATAACACCGACACATTCTTCACTATCTGCACCTATGTTACCATTGTTGGACAGAACCAGAAGCCTAATTGTCTCTTGGATGTGTAATGCCTTGCTCGAACAGCGGAACATACCATGCTAATGAGTGTCGGGCTCTGGTCACCTCTTGTATATGGTGGGATCTAAGTGGGTATAAATCTTAAAGAACTTTCGTGCATGTAGGTGACCCTCATTCAGTTGACAGAAGAAACCAGACTAGTAGTGAATAGGTCTTTATTTAGATCATGGAACAGTCACAGTGGAGCAGGGGGCACCTTTAAAAACACATAAAGCTTTTCAACATTCATTATAACAGGAAACCTAATGCCCAAACGAAATAAGGAAGTGAATAAATACTTGAGCACTGTCGTTTTGACATATAGTTAGCTGTTTGAGTTCAACTGTCAAATAACTTACCAAAGTTGTCGCAGCACCACTTTCACTCATCACATCGCATTCCTTCCTCCACAAGAAATAAGCGATGTGGCCGTCGACATTTGTGCGTAGAATCGACCATCTCAAAAACGAACTAAAAAGGGTAATGTCAGAATGAATTTGAAGAAAAAAATCCAAACCCTAACCGGAAAAAATCAAGTCAAAGCCGACGAAGTATGTATTGGTGCAATAAATGCACGAAAGCAAGGTTGGTGTACACAAGTACAAAGTCACTAATCCTTTTGAAGCGCGCGCACCGGCTGAAGACAGTGATCTAGAAGCACCCACGTTTCATGGAAAATTAAATATTCGAACTGCGAACTTGGTTAAGTAATGCTGGAAGGCTAGTGTGAATCATTGGGCTTCAGATAATAAAGGGCGAATCGAAATTTTGTCTCGATTGTTTTCTTACTTGAAGTAAAAACACGGCTGTGTGACATTTTTACCTATGATGAGACTCATTTCCTAGGTCACTCGGTAAATTCAGTCTAGTGCGTATCTAAACCGTCACTATTTAATAATGTTGTTTGAAGGAGGATTATTCTGTGACCACTTTTATCCTGTTTCTCAGTGCATAATAAGTTTTTTCCCTAAAAATATTTCTTTATGGGGTGATAATACCTGTTTCAACAGATGACAGCTAGGTTAGAAAATCAGAATCTCCCTCTTAATGTATCTGATGTGGATTTTTGAAGGATGCTTCTTGGTTTTGGGACTAGATACTACAAATTTTGGGAACACTGACACCTACATCTTTAATAAGTTGACAGCTTGCAGCCCGGATACAATAATCAAATTGAGGCCTGAAGATATTACATGTATATGGTACTTGCCAACACTGTCAGTAAAAACCAGTGGAACCAGAAGTTGGGAGTGAAAGAGTTTGAAAATGTCTTTCAACGATATTCAATGTGTTGAGCTGTGTTTAATCCAGCTAACTTTTTTATCGTGAAGCATGCGCAACATGGAGTACTGAGGTGTGGTTTGACTGTTATGCCTGACTCAATACCTTCAGCAAGGAGTGTGCCCAATAAACCCAATGGAGCAGCACCAATCTCTGAGACTTGCAAACTATTTCTTATGGAGATTTGATTGCAACTACAAGTCTTGTATATGTAGGGTGTAAAATCATAAATATTTACTCAAGTCATTTGTAAGCTCTACGAAGCATATATATTTACTGTTCAAGTTAGACTGACAGATGGGTGATTAATCAAGAGCTGTCTCTTTCTATTCCAACACATTGGGCCGAATATGGCACCCTCCAATTCCTTTAGAAACAGATTAAGAAAGGAACTAAAGGATCAAAACTGCGCGTTTCCTTAAGAATTTATGTGGGAGATCAGTGAAACTGGGGATGTAATCCATCAGGGCTTGATGAGAGAACAAATTTTCGTTCACTAATAAACCCATAACTACTTGGCGACACATAACATCAGTAAGATGGTTGATATCCCACCAGCGTCGCTGGGCGATGTTACAACCTTAATTTCCTCTATATATACCTCGTTGAAGTAGTCTGTTAGACTTTGAGCGTTAGATTCATCTGACTCTAATAGCTCATGTGAATCTTTTTATAAGCGTGGGGATGAAGTCCTATTACGTCGTTTAGCTCGGCCCCTAAGATGGAGAATATCCGTTCTAAACAAGTTTAAGATGCCACAGGTATTCGAAGTTTGGGAACATCTTTACACATAACACTTTTACGATCGAAGTATACCAACCCAGTCAAATCGGAAGGCAGAAATTAAGAGGTTAGAAAATATATTTGAAAGGCTATTGATATATTGAGAATCGTTTTATCTAGGTTGGCTAGTAGTTAAGAAAGATGCGTAGCACAGCGTACCCACTCGTGGTCTGGTGCGGATGTGTGACTGAGAGTCTAGATGTGTCTAGATGAGCTGGACGTGTCCATTAAAACTAATGAGGCCAGCATCGAATGTCGAAGAATTATATATCTTTTTATTTCGGAGATTTATTTACCGCTACAAATACGTTCCTCATGCATCAATCACTTTTCATAATTAGTGTGAGACGTGGCTATGGAAATTCTGCGGATGCTTTTAACGTGATGTTTCTATGCTCCTAACCAGTGAGCACGAGTTCGAAATTTCTTCCAAGTTGTGTCCTTCCATCGACCAGCTTACCTTATTTTGTCACTTTTGCAATATGAGGCACCAACATCGTTTCTGACAAGGCATTCTGGAGAATGTGTTCTAAAAACTGAAGAGCTTGAGCATGGCGTTTGAATGAACCTAGACCCTTCGATTCTCATTACCCCGTTTAACCATACTAGTAGAAGATAGGATATTTCCAGCGGGAAACATGACCCGACTTTCTAAGTGGTTGACGACCCTCCGGAATCCCATAGTATGCTTGACGCGACTGTGGTTACTACTCCAGCCAACATTGACGAATGGGTATAGATTGTAAGCAAAAACGACACTACGATGTAAAAGGGAATTCTGTCTCCATCACAACAGTCAAGAAGCCGAAGTCTGATCACAGCAACAGATCGGTTATTTTTCATAGAATCAAGGAGAGTGAAAGCTGTGAACCAAGACCTCGTTTTAAGCATGACATTATGTTGATAAAACAGCTACTTAATCAAGTTATGCCTCAAAATATCTCCGGAGTCACCTTACTAAAGGTGTATAGACTAGGTAGTCTGGCGAATTTGAAGCCTAATCAATCCAGACTACCTAAAGTAGCATTCAAATCTCCTAATGATAGCGACCTAATTCTATAAAATGGACAAAAATTTAAAGGTTCGGGAGTGGGATAGATAAAGATTACTGAGGACTGATGAGGCAAAATCTCAGTGTCAAAAAGCTCGGAATATCTGTGCGTCCACCCTCCGTATGTCTAGAAAGCTATAAGAAGAGATAATTTTTTAAGAATCCATAGAATGTCCTCAGCGCTTGTATTCCTATATAAACCAAAGGACAAAAAGAAAAAGAACTGTTCCTTCATTATGGGGAGACAGTACTGCCTCATCACTAGTGGAGGACGACTTTGGCTAAGCTCAAATATTCTTATACTACTTTAGCAATGTATATACCATAGAAACACCTTTCCCACCAGTCCATAAAATCCCCCACATAAACACTAGACAGTGTGACCATTAAAGAACTCGAAGTCATTGGTCTGCTAAATGAGCTTGACATAGGCAAACCTACTGGACCTGATGGAATGCATCCTAGGTTACTAAAGGAATTAGCTAATGTCGTCGCGAACCCTCTAAGTATGTGTTTTAATCTATCCGTAACCCAGGGTCGTTTACCGAAAGACTAGAAGAACTCCATAGTAAGTCCAGTTTTCAAAACAGGTACGAAACATAAACCTGAGAATTACCGACCAATTAGCCTAACTAGTGTGGTTGTTAAAATCTTAGAAAAAATTATTCAGAAGGAGCCGTTTAAGTACCTCGATGAAAACCGGAACCTTTCAAATAGGCAGCATGGTTTTAAAACAGGTTATCCCTGTCTCACTAGTGGCTCGTGAAAGCTGGTGCGCTCTTAAGGACCAAAAGTTACCTGTCGGTGTAGCCTACATCGATTTCAACTAAGCTTTCGACAAAGTTCCACACAACCGGCTGTTATATAAGGTAAGAAATGTCGGGATACCAGGCAATCTATTGATGTAAATAAAAGAGCATGGGTGAACTCCAATTTGTCTCGCTGGGAGCCCCAGGGTACTGTTTTGGGGCCAGTGTTATTCCTCTTGTACATAAATGATCTTCTTCGTTTACTATCGTCATCGGTCTTGCTATATGTTGACGATGTCAATATATGGAGAGAGATACAAAGTAAGGGTGATAGCTTAGAACTCCAAAACGACCTGGGGAAATTGTTTGAATAGTCCCAAACCTGGCAGTTGCCGATATATACTTTCAAGTGTATTGTGATGCATATTTGTCATCAAGGTACAGATGCATGCACGATGAATAACACTGAACTACCTATTGTCCAGACACACAATGACTTGGGAGTCATCGATGGCCAAGACTTAAAGACTACTTCACACTGCCGTGCAATAGCCGCCAAAGGTTTTCGAACATTATGGTCAATCCGTAGGGCTTTTAGTTATATGGACGCTAGAACGTTTTTGGATCTGTATACAGTGTTCGTGCGTCCTCAACTTGAGTATTGCATACAAGCGACTAGACCCTTCTTAAAAAATGACAGTGAGCTTTTGGAAAAGGGTCCAGAGAACAGCAACTAAGCTGATTCCTGGAATATCGAAGCTCACGTATGATGCTAGACTGACCAAGCTAAACATGTTCCCGCTGTCATATGGAAGAATCAGAGGCAACTTGATTACAGTTTTCGAATAGCTTGGTGATAAATTTGCAACTGATATGCACTCATTTTTCTTATCTTCACAAACAGAACATTTACGAAGACCCTCCAAAAATGTTCACAAACCTAGAACGAATTACTTGTCAGCTGACTATCGACTTTCCCATGGAATAATCAACGAGTAGAATTCATTACCTCAGCTCATGGTTGAGGCTCCATCCGTGGACTCTTTCAAAAGAAAGTTGGGTCAACTGAGATACCATCATTGGCAGGACTAACACAAGCCATCAAGCTTCCTGTCCTTTCCAAACTGAAACTGATTTGAGAGATTCCTAAGAATTACTTCAGTTTTGTCTCTTTTTATCTAGCAACCAGGCACTGCAATTTAAATACGTATTAGAAAAGAATTATTTTACTATACCTCCTAGAGAAAGTTGAACTTTGTATACCAGCCAACAAACATATCTCCAAGCGCGAGCGCTTGCTTGGATTTAGTTTTCCCTCATGTGTTTGTGTGTGTGGTCTGAGTGTTTCCGTTCGTATAATATTCTTTGACAGTAATCTGGACTGATTTTTGTCCTTTCTAAATATTTCGCTATTATCACCTTGTTTTTAGGGATTACGGTTACTTGAACTTAGTTCATGTATATGTTACATGTTGCAATATGGGTACTGATTGTCAGTATACCGAACAGAAATTCGCAATTCTGTGGAGATTTTAAGTCAGGCTTTACCACCCCAGGGTTTTGGCTCTTATAATTAATAACCAATGACGGAAACGCATTTCCCGAAAAGGCGCTAGCGACAATGCTTTCGACAAGAAACGGTTAAACCATACAAGAACTAAGGTAAACAGATTGACATACTGTCCTCATCCCTGCTGATTAAAGGCCAAAATATCGATGCTAAAATACTGACAAAGCTATATGAAGGTGGTTGCTTCCATAAATACGCAAATAAGCGAGAATAATTTTTAGTAGATATAGCACGTTACCCGCAAATGAATAATAAATCCGACAAGTAGTCAAAGACTCGCCATTCAGAACCTGCCATCATTTGGGATTATGTGGGTAATGATCTATCGAACTGTGGTATATTATTAACAAATAATTACTTCCTGGTTCATATCTAGTCATATTCCACTCCCCGGTATTTTCTAATGCCAGGACTAACACAGGCCATCAAGCCTCCTGTCCTTTCCAAACTGAATGGGTTAGTATTGCTCTGTGGTTAGTTGAGTTCATTAATTAGGCATATAGTCAGAATTATTCATAGTCTATTTTTCAATATATAATGGGTTCTATTGATTGTCCCACACTGTACCTTTTTAATGGTTAGATTCTATAAACATACGTAGGATTTCTGAATTGCTAGCCAATGAACTGGCCCTTCAGACAGTCTGCTTAATATAACTTCTAATACTATAGACCACTTTTATGTACGAAATACAATAATGTCCTTAGTGCCTTTATCCAGTTAGTATGAAATTTCAACCCACCCTGCGTCAATTTATTGTTCGGTGTATAATTGCCGGCTCAGCACCCTATTCTATATCCGAATCGCTGTTTGTTCGTGGATTTCCAATACTTTATGAGGATTGTTATCCAAGCAACCTTTCTAAATTTTCTGATGATATGACCCGAGGTGGGTTGTGATGGGCAAAATATACTAGGTGTCGCTTGCTATGTTGGCTAGGGCAGTGATATCCTGTAAGAAATTTTGAGTAGTTCATGGAATATTCAGTTGTTTGAGTAATCTAAACTTTTAACTACATGCTTCTGTTTCGAGTTAAGTAAGACAAAGTATTGCTAGTTAAATACCGTGGTTCGTTTCGCTCGGAATAACTTGTTACTACTGTTCTTTTGAAATAATCGTCTATTACATAATTGTTCTGCTATTTCAAACTTTTCGAACGGTTTGTTCAAGCTTTTATTTATTTGTAAAAAGTAACTCAGATCTGTCTGTAGTTGTCCTAGACTGTTTTTATTATTTATTTATTTAAACACATAAATATTGGTACGAGGAAGCACCAGATACATATGCGCCTCACAAATCTCATTCGATTTGTGTGAGGGCTGTGATACTGCCCAGGTAACCAAACCGAAGCAGGTGGTTTTCTTAGGGGGCCACACCCCGAGTCTTTAACCTGAAGGTCTAGTCCACAAGGCGGTGAAGCATTGTGAGGAGATGCAGTCCCATGGTAGCCGGTGACCAACGATTGGTTCATACGCCATTTGTTCCTTCAGGATACTGGAGCCCATGTGCACCGTTAGTTTGGAATCAGGGTTTTCCAATTCCCCTAGATGGACTCGCCGTATCCACCAACCCGGTTAAAGCTCCGGACATTCGCTTTTCGTCCTCTCAATTTCGTAAACAACACCCTCCACGAGAAGGTAGTGAGTAGAACTTCCCTGGCAGAGTCTATATACGCGTGGCCATATGAGAGCATTTGGAGAGGGAGAGTGGACTCTTCCCACTCTCTGCCGTACCAGGGTATTTTGGAGTAGATTATTAACTGCTGATTACACAGCGACTACATATCGTATAGACTAATTTCTGTTTTACCACAATTTTTAGGTTTGAAAGAAACTAATCATCTCAATAATTCAATTCTGTTCATGCATTGCCAATCACCTAACATATAATCATTTGTACTAAATGGATATACCAGAGAATTACAAGTATCTGTTCAAGTTTTTGATTATTGGAGCTTCAGGCTCTGGGAAAACATGCATTTTACGAAGATATACAGAAGGAAAATTTATACCTAATATGCCCCATACAATTGGAGCAGAATTTGGTAGTAAGATCATAAATGTAGATGGGACAACCGTTAAAATTCAGATATGGGATACTGCAGGTAGTTATTTTCAGATTTGTACGTTCACACTTCTATAGTATGTTTTATCATCAAAGTACCTGTTCAATGTGTGCCATGTTATGTTTAAATAGCAAGTACTAAATACTGATTTCTATTATGTTCATATATTATATATTTGCGTTCGATTGTTAAACTTGTTCACACGATAAACATCGTATTTAAAATCAAACGGATACATGCTGTCAGACCTTGGGCCGTGTCTGTTAGAGATATCACTAAATTAATTTATTTTTTTTATTTATTTAAACACATAAACATTGGTATAAAGAGACATCAAATGTATATGCGATGCACAAATCAAATAATTCGTGTGAGGGCTGAGATACTTCCCGGGGGCCTAAACCGAGGCAGGAATTATTTGGTTTCTTGAGCATTACCTCAATACACCAGGGTCAGACAATACTGGTACGCAAGATTACTCGAACGAGATTACCCTAAAACGAAGGGAAATCGCGATGGCTGTGATGAATAATATATCCGCCTGTAGCTCTTCTAGAGTTACTGCCGGTCCCAAGCTCGGGTAAAGGAGGAGCGTTGGGCATGGGGTTAGCGACCCCATCCCGTAGAAAAGCTAACTCGCTAAAAAAACGCTAACCAGAAAAAATAATTCAAACCATTTAAAATCTGCACTGGGAGTTGAAGGAATAATTAAATGTTAACTGGAAAGGAAGGCTCAGGACAGAGTTGGATGGAGAATGCTGGTGAGCGGCCTATGCTCCTCGACGAGGGGTAACAGGCGTAAGTTACAAAGGTCGCGTAATGTTTCTAGACTGAGCATCCAGAGCAAATAAAATGCTCCACTGGTCACCGCTTGAGCTGGTGTGGATGTCTGACTGAGCGCCTCCGGTTAGTCAGTGTGTAGTAAGATTAACAAGGTTAGCATCAATGTCAGGTACCAACCTATCTATTGTGAGCACTATTAAGTGGGGATCCGAAGATTTTATCAACTAGAGGTTTAAAACCAAGGAGTTTGACGTTGGTAAACTATCATTTTACGGCTTAGTACATTTATTAGCGTTCGGTCGTCAATCCGCGCGCTAATAAGTTGTATAACAAATTAATATGTATAGGTCGAAGGAGATAGGGTTACTTTTTGAGTGTAAGGCTTTTAGTCTGTCTATTCCGAATTTTCCATCAGTCTCATTATTGTCGATAAATTAGTACTTTGAATTCCGACTCCAACGTTTTTAAGTTCGTTTGTAAACCGCATTGAGAGGTCAGCATATTGAGTCAGGATGTATAAATATATGTGTAACACACCGTAAGCCTGGTTATATGAAGATGTCAGTTGATTGAGGTTGGGTGGGAGCAGGCTTGATTGAACGCATAGTTTGTAAATCGGCTCGCATAGAGTCTGAGATCCGTATTCAATAGTGATGAAGGGTATATGAATGTTCCTAGAAGTCGAAGAGTTGTGACATACAAAAGTTCATTTGCAGTGAATCCAAAGTCATCTTGAAATGCATTACGAATTTCGAGTAAGACATGTGGAAGTGTGTCCGTTCATTGTGGAGTGTTTATACTTGAGATAGAAGCTTTCAACTATCTATGGAGTTGTCCTGCCATATCGATAACTTGTAAGGGGTGGACAGTTGTTCGGAATAGTATGGGTGTAAAGAGTTGATATAGGGCATGGAGTTATTCAGATCCTAATTGGCGTCGATTGTCTGCTTCAATTACTGATGTGTAACCTCAATGTATAATCTATCATTCGATGAGAGCGCATACCATCCCTTTAGCAGTAATGTTCTTGTTAACCACTGCTTCTGGCAATCGTGTGGAAAAATTCACGTATGTGAGTAGTTAAGTGTCCATTCGATTCTGGCGGAGATTTACCGGATCAAGATTAACATGATGGAAACGAGTGTCAGGGTTTTCAGAAGAAAATAAGGGATATTGAGTGTATAGCTACCTTTTGACAAAACGCCAAAAGGCAAGCTTCCACTTGAGAACAACTATACTGTATAGCTACCTTTGATCTCTACTTCTTAAATATGTTGATCATCTTATCTCATTCAGGCGTTGAACCACCATCAAGCACATCTCACAACTGTCTTGCTGACCTTCAATGAATAAGGAACTAGGCATTCCCATGTTTGAGTGAACTGTACATAAATTTCCTCTAGGGTTTTTTACGACTCACGACGCTCGTTTCAACCACCTCCATCTTTGCCTTTGGGGTTATTCCGTCAGACCAATACTGTTCGATTATGTTATATTCAGATCATCCCTATTTTGAATAGTTATACAAATGCCCAGTTTTTAACTTATAATATCGCTAGATAAACAGTGTTTTAACCTAGCAATTTAGGTATATAACAACAGACTATTAAGTTCTGATTGGTGTAAGATGATTGCAGGGATAATATACCAATAGTGTCAACATATGCATATTTTCATGTTTCAGTTAAATAAATTGCTGATCACTTGATGGTGCTAAGCAATACAATGCAGCCGACTGATAATGACTCATAAGACTAAATCGACTGTGAAATGAATTGAGTTTCAAATATAAGGACATTACAGATAGTAGTATTTTTCGCCTAGCAAAACAAAACTTCATAAAGGCAGAGAATTTACATATAATATGATGTATCAGGATGTAGTAACATTTTAAGATTATTAGACATCCAGTCGGTCAGTTTTCTGTCTGTTGCGATAGTAAGCTATTTGCAAAATCTAGATGTGATTCTTTGGGGGTCCTCATATATTCTTACGTTATATTGCATCCTCTAATTAATATTTTAATTAGAACAGTACTTTCAATTTTAATTAAAGGTCAGGAACGTTTTCGATCAGTGGCTCGTTCATATTACCATGATGCTGTTGGAGCATTGCTAGTCTATGATATTACTAGTAGAGATTCGTTTAATGAACTAGCCTCCTGGTTGTCCGATGCAAGAACGCTTGCTTCGCCTGATATCATGATTGTACTAGTTGGAAATAAAAAAGATTTGCAGGTAGTAAACACATTTTTATTTTCTGCGTTTTTTATCGTACACTGCAATTTGATTTGTGCATTACTTCCGTAATAATCAGTTCTCTCTTTTAACTAGATTTACAAATTAAATCAGTTAAGACAAGTTACATACTATGACAGAATCATTTTATCTAACTTGTTTATTACATCCAGATTGAACAAAACAAATGATTACTATATAAATTACTCTAGGTGTATGACCTTATTACTGTTAGATATATGGGAGCATTAGTCATTTGGCGGTTGTTCATGTCGTGGAAAGGTGCTTCTTGTGATGCCTGACAAAGAAACTAGATCAGAGATAGTCCTGACTATTTGAGACGTAACCACAGGGCCCAAGTAATAACTATTTAAGTTCGGTCACACAAGGCTTTTTTTGTGGGTAGCTTTTAGTACATTTAATTCATACTTACTTGATCGTCGTCATCTGTCTGTGGTTTGGGTGAAATATGTTATCCTTAGGGTCAATTTTTTTTAAGTCCCTCTTGTTTCGGGAACTCAGCATCTCCAGAGATACCCTTTACGTTTGGGAAACATTACACCGTTCTCAAACCCCAGTAAAACTACTGGTATTACCCCCATTGAACCGTAAATTTGCTGCTTTTGGTCCAATCGCTCTCGAAAAGACCTCCCTAGCATATAAGGACCTCAATGAACAAGTATCCGAACTTGGAAGAAGTGGCTTACATTGAGTCACTAAACATCAGAAATACAATTTTATAGTTATTGGAATATCACAATAGAATTATTAAGTGTTCCAGTTGTCATGACTTATTTATTTATTTGAACATAATTATTGGTACAGGTGGGCACCAGATATATATGCGCCACACAAAAAATGTCATTTCATTTTAATTGTGTGAGAGCTATGATACTGCCCAGACCAAGGCAGGCGGTTTTATTAGGGGGGCACATCCGGAGCCTTTGACCTAAAGATCTGACCTCACAGGGCAGTGGAGCATCGTGAGGAGATGCAGTCTCATGGTAGCCGGTGACCGACAATGGGTTAATACGCCATTTGTTCCCTCAGGGTACTGGAGCGGATGTGCACCATTGGTTTGGAATCAGGGTTTTCCAACTCCCCTAGGTGGACTTTCTGTGTCCACCAATCCGGTTAAAGCTCCGGACATTCGCTTTTCGTCCTCTCATTTTCGTAAACCAAACCCCCACCACGAGAAGTCAGTGCGTAAGACTTCCGTAGCAGAGGCTGTATACGCGTGGTCATGAGAGCATTTCGAGAGAGGGCGGACCCTCCCCCTCTCGGCCGTACCAGGGCATTTAGGGGCACTGTTATGAATATTGGGTCACCACAATAAACAAGCAACCCGACCATCACTTCAATGTGACAATGACGTTCATACCTTTTAAATCGCGTCCACTGTTTAGTTTTTCGCACTATCATTTATGCTATTGTTATTTAAATCCTATAGTGTTCAGTTTTGTTCATATCATCTCACTACTAATATGGTATGACAACTTGGTTTAATGCACATTTATTCTAGGCTCTGTGTCGATTATTAGTGACTCAGGACTACTAAATTCTCAATGTATGTTATTTAAATAAAACTTTAAAAACGCCTTCATCCCAGATTTGAAAATCAGTAACAATAAAATCCAGCTGATGTTGATGCATATATCTAAGTAAAATGATATGTTCCATCAAATCTTTTAATAAACTTTTTAACATGATATTATAATGAGTTTTTTATATTGCAGGATAGTGATGGACATGTAACCAATTGGGAGGCTAGTGCATTCGCTCAAGATAATGATCTTCATTTCTTGGAGACATCAGCACTTACTGGAGAAAATATTGAAGAAGCTTTTACACAATGTGTCCGAAAACTTGTCTTTAAAATTAGAAATGGTGAATTAGATCCAGATCGCTTAAAATGTAATCGACAATCATCTAGTTTAACTTTTAATGAACGTCCAAAGTTTGGTTCTATTCCACAGGTTCATGTACAAAATGATTCAACACTTTCATATCAATGTAATTGTTGATTTAATTATTTTAATAAGATTTTAAAATTTTCATCTTATACATTATTACTGCTTAAAGATCCATTTATCATTTATTCTTATATATACATATGTATGTATCAATAAACAATTGATTTCATGTATGGGTCTCTTTTATTTCGTCCTGTTTTTTTTTGTGTTTGTTTTTCAATGTTTGCTTATTCCAAAATCCATCCGATTAGTTTTACTTACTTTATTCCATAATTCAACTTGCATTTCAATGATTGATTTAATGTATATTCTATAGATCTTCTGTTTAAAAGGAATTCAATCTTTAAATGACAGGTTTTAAATGTGTTCTTTATATGTCATTTTGTTTTGAAACATTTGATTTAATATTATTTATTTTCATACAAAAGTCTTTATGGATTACAGCCTACAATTAATAAGTCATTATGCATAATTAATGGAGTTTAGTTGTGTTATGATTTTTTTCGCTTCGGTTTCTCAGGTTTTCTTTTTTATCTCCGTGAAGCTCAGTTCTAATTTATCTTATCTTCTTGAATAAATTAGTAATTTGTAGCTATTATGCGTGTTGCTTTTGTTTAGTAATACGTGTTGTGATACAAGTTGTATTTCACTTGTTAAATCATTGAGTTGCCATGTTGACACAAAATAAAACTTTTCAAAACTTTACTAATTCTCAGTCTGATAAAATTTATGTCGTTAGGACGACTAGTTATTAGTCAAGTTATTTCAAATAATCACTGATAGTGAGCTCTTATATCGTTGGGGGGTATGACAATGTAGTCTAAATATCTGTCTTCTCAAAACCAAGTATGGGTCATTATATTCGGCCTCAAGCTACATTTTGTATGAAATTCGATAATAATATTCGTATGACCAAGGTGAGGCAGATAGAAACGAGTTTGAACGTAGTCAGCTTAGTAGTCCATGGTTGGCAGTGGGATAAATTATCACTAAATCAACTTAAAGTCATTAATTTAGTTTATAGATATTCTTGTCATTTTAGATACTTTGTTTTGGTACTGTTTAATATTATCTAACTAAATCCACTACAATGAATGTAACTTAATGATAGTACAATCTTCTGCATTGACATAACAGATAAGTGGCTTTATGACAGTGATTTAAGCATATGTTTTCTGACGCCAGCTTGGTAGATTCGAACACTGATCTAACAACTTCAAACTGGACTATCGGCTGATATAGTACAAAGTAGAATATGTTATATTGTGATAATGGCGTCATGTAATTTATGAATGTTTACTTCAGTATATTTCATACGGATGATGGGTGGTAGAGTTGAATATATAGGGGATTTAGGAGTTAGAGCTTATAGTATTTAGCGAACCTAATCAATAATGAGATGACTCGATTGTTTTAGCTATATAAAGTAGGTACAAGTTCACCTGTATTCAGGAAATTATACTAAAAAGATGAGACTTAACGAAATATTCTTAATTATGTATTTATCTTTAGTAATTCGCGTCACTTTATTACTATTTATGTCCCGATAAGGATTATGAATGGTAACTTTTGAGAACTCTTTGTGGACCAACATGATATGTAGATTTCCTATTGTATAATTGCTAAGTAACTAAACTAGTCATATTCGTTTCCCTCTCACTATAGGCTTGATTTTGACTTATGTACTGTTATTATATGATTTACTGTTCTTGAGTTATACCCAGTCTATTGATTACTGTTCCCCTTATTCACAGCCACATTTAGCAGAATCTTGTACAAATGTTATTTTATGGTACGATGTGGTTAGTTTGATTGGTATATAAGCTCAGTATGTTTGAAATATTATGATCCTTACCGCAGAGGCTGAGGTACGTGTTCTGGAATTAACTGGCTTGGTTAGGCGGAAAGCAGAACCGATAAGGACTTTAGTCTGCTCTCACGGGTTTACGTGTCGTTGGTCCGATCAATAATTCACTGCTCTCAAATTGGCGCTATTATCACGTTATACATTAATAGGGCAGCCAAACAAGTTATGACACTGTTATTACGAAATCAATCAAGATGTAATATTTCTCCTCTTATGTATTGTATTCATGTAATTCTACTCCATCAGTTTTAATCCATCACTCATGCACAACATCTATTAGCTTAATCAAAACTTCTATATACATAATGTGTATTGCTACTTATAGGTTTGTAACTGTATAGACTAAAAGATGTTTAAAAAACAAATGTTCTCTTGAACAGTCTTTGTTTTTTAAATATTTCATAGTTAATTTTTAAATTACTTATTTACACAACATTTAGATGATCTACTAACAAACAAGCTTCCAATGGAACTTCGAATTAAGTCAGTCAGTCACAACGTAGAACTTCATACGTACGTACATCAGTTCGAGTTGCCATACCACATTAGCACACAGATGCGGTTGTCGCATTAAGGTGAAAAAATGAACTATTTCAGAAAATAATTGTATTTGATTATATGTTTATTTACACCTATAAGTTATTATTTTTTTTAAATACAAAATATGGTTAAACACTATGAAAACTACTCATGACAATATTTAAGTAGTATGTTTTGAAAAGAAAGAAATCATGTTATTTAATACAGCTCTCTTTTAAAACGTTCTCCTACCATTAAATTAAGTAATTCTTGCAAAAAAAATGGTGTGCTGAAAATTGTGTTCTAGAAAATATGATAACTTCTTGATCTGTTTGAATTAGTCGACATCATATAGTAAAATAAAATTGGAAGTGTACAAGGGTTTCTTCAATGACAAGAAAACAAACGGGAAGTAGCAATGGAATTGTAGTAATGACTTTTTTTTGTTGCTAATTTGAAAATAGACTCTTTTCACTTAAGTAGACAGATATATACACGTGATTGAAGTGCAAAATTAACAAATGGTAACGGAATGCTTATTTTTAATACATTCTATGTGCGTAATTTGGAGAGATTGTCTTCGATGGAGGCCTCCATGGTCTTCTGTTTGTTTTATTTGAATGGTCGATGCTGATAACAAGATTCTCTAGTGATGCAACCTTGGTTCATGACAAGAAGACAATTATTTATTATTAGTATAGCGGCTTTATAGACATAGTTGAGTTTTCGTGGCTTCACACAAAACAGATTGATCTTAGAAGACCATTGAAAAGCAGGAAGCACTAGATAGCTATTTCACCTTAGTATGGTGTTCCCTGACTAGATCATGGATACGCACTTCCGGGGCGTCTCGAACTTAGACAAAACAACCGCTCAATGTTACCCGGTTTTGAACGGTTGTCCAATTAACATTAATCCCCAGTTTAAAAATGTGGAAGCTATTTATTATTAATATTATTGTTACTTCTCATAATATAGTATTGTTCAAAAGAGTGGAAACTATAACGCAAACTATCTTTGTTATATACCAAATTACTGGGTGAAATAGTTTGATGACTATTTTGTTTGTGGTTTCGATCACAGACTGACTATCAGAAAACTGCCTGACCTCCATTATACACGATCTTTCTGCTATTGGTTCGTAATGTGTTAGCTTTGCATCAGAAGTCTGTTAGGCGATTAGATGGTGTGTTATTTATAGGGACCAAATTCTTAACTGGTTGTATTAGATGCACTTTATAAGTGAGATTCAAGGAAGGGCCGGACAAATACTTTGTTTTCAGGATTCTAGTTGATATCAGGCGATAAAAAAACTATTTTTAAACTAAATAGACAAACTCTATAAACCACGATTCATTCAAAATATTTCCATGGAAAGTTTCGTAAAATTCAATTTATTTATTCTAATGAGTCACATTAGCTAATACTTATTTTCAATGTAACGATTACTAGAAATAGCCACTCAACATCATAATTGCGAATCTTTTTTTCCAATGTACAATTATGTGAAATATTTCAGTTTTTGATGTGGGTTTGTTCTCTGAGCTGGATGGTTTGGTCGTGAAGCTTTCATCGTCCTTCTGAACAACATCATCAGTGATTTAAATAGACCGACTGAATGATAAAGTTAATTTATGCACTGTTCTATGAATATTAGATAAATTAAAGGCCTGAAGTTGGTTTTCATCACGGAATGACAGCAGCTAGATGAATATTAGATACTAGGATGCAATTGACAGATGTTTCTGTTCTCGCCACAGAATCCTTATTAATGCAGAAACATGACCCTGCTGATGTTAGCTTTTGATAAAAACTAACTTCAGACAGAAGAAAGTTCTCAAAAACCTCATTTCATTACTAATATTGATGACGTTACTAATGATATGGGTTCCCGAAGTTCTACAGATAAACTATGATCAGTGAAGTTCGACCATGTAAGAAGTGAGAAAAATATAAGTGTCATTAAATGGTAGTTACACAATATCACAAATCGACTTGAGTAATGAACATAGACCACGACATTTTAAATCACTGATCAAAATGTGTAATTTTCACCGTGAAACCCAAGGGTTTAACTTAGATATCATGCGTGATCGTGGATACTTAATGCTCATAAGTTCAAAAATACGACGAAATAGCTATTTACTACTGATTATTGGCTTTTAATGTTCCTTGAGCTCATATCAGTCCATAATCAAAATAATTTCTTATCGGAGTATCTGCACGAATGCTATATAGATATTAAAACTCAAGACCTGAAAATTGAGGGTTTGATCCTATATGGATTCGTGGTAAATAGTAATTTCAAGCTCCAAACTAGTACGAATCAGTTGTCCAACACTCCATAGCTTTAAATGGTTGTCGGTTCTCAACTCAGACATGGTTTTGCGTAGTAGTTTGCATTTTGTTCGGATTGTTCTTCGCTGCTTCCTTCCAATAGATGGTTAGATTACTTTCGCATTTTAAGAATTCTTCTATGCTTTGACATATCGTTATAATTGAAGTATAGTATCGAGAACATTGATAAATTAGTTGGGAATACAGTGGTTATTGTTATTTTAACTCTAAGTATTCTGTACTCCTAGACAATATAATCAACTGTTTGATTTGTGTTTTAAATTTTAATCTACGGTCAAAAGGTTTTCTATCGTATTAAAACTTTCAAACTATACTTTAGTTGGTATCGTTTTGTGATACAAACCGACTGTTGTTTGGTTCAACAACAATAATTTACATCATGGAATAGACCTGGTTAAACGACTACTTAAAACCAGGGAAACTTTCGTTTTAGTATGTGACTTCTTAGCAGTGTGTATTCACGATTCCACCGAAGGTCAATCGCTATATTGTTCATCTCATCATACCATTGGAGAGTAGATGCCTCATTCGAGAGGCATAATTGAACTCCATTGATCATGGCTTCTCACAAGTGCTCCGGAAATCGCCTCACAAAGTTAACCACTAGTATTGAAGACAGTGTAGAGGCAAGGTCCTGGAGATTGATGGATTTATTTGTGAATGACTGCTTATCAACAATCTGCACAAAACGTCTACGCTAGTAATAATAAGAGAAAATAATACCTTTTTTAATTCCCATTGATGATAAGCTTCAGCTGCTTGTTCCATTTTAATACGATAAGCTTCTTCTAGTTGTTTTTCCTTTTCGGTTTGATGTTTTCTTTTACTCTGAATGTTTTGTTTTAATGCAGCATCTTTTTTGGCTTTCCTGTTGGAAAATTTAAAGAAACAATATTCATTTTTATTCTTTTATTGTTAAATACCTTATTCAAAATGTTCAAATTAGTTATCAGTAGGCTCAATAGAATAGCACTCAATCTCAGCCAAATTATGATATTATAGTAAATTAATCGAACGGATTGTTTATCTCAACTCATCAAGGTCAACGATAGCCAACGCTAAGGATTCGATGTGTTGGATTTGAGAATTGGGGCGTACAACTGCTCGACGGCGCCGTCCTCATCGTTTTTTATTTTTTCTATTCGTTCGATATAAATTTGTTTAAAACCTCGGTTGATTTTTAGATTGTATTGAAGTGGTGAGAGATCTTCGCCACCAGCTAATGGACCCACCGTATAATGTTACATCTCCGTTAGAATACTTAATTTAAACAACTATGTGACCCCAGTTTTCTCCATTGCTAGTTAGTAATGGCAGATTAGATGTATATATACATGCGTATTTTATTATTCGTAGGGTCTCATACAACTTTAACAGTTTGAATTGAAACGATTTGCTGCTCCTTCTTGAAAAGTCTAATTTGCATCAAGTATGAACTCATGAAGTTGTTTTTAAGTGAACTGAGATACATAGTAATAAATCCATTTGTTTTTCGTACAAGCAAGCATGTGCATTTAGTGTAATGCATAGGATGCTATGAATGAAGCAAGAAAAGTCATATAGTCAGTCGGAAAATTTAGACGACTACGATTACAAAAAAATACCTTATCTGTACGTACAAGAGGTCAGTCACCGGCCATACAGCATGATAAGTATATATTTTATCTAACCTCTTAGTGACAAGAATTTTTGAATCTTTCTAGACCTAATGAAGTTCTAGAATGGGAGTTAGGCTTTAGGATTAGTCTATATATGTTTTGGTCCTAATCTTAAATCTAAAACTAAATCCTAAACCCTAGCTTTAAGTATCTAATGATGTTTACCTCATTAAAATTAACCAAACTACAGTCATGCAGTTAGTTCCCTTTATGAATTTAAATTCAAACTACAGTCGTTATTAGACATGTTAGTGTGGAATGGTTCGATAAGCATCATTTTAGAATAACATGTACACCATAACCTTGTGGTCACTTAGTCTATCCAAAATGTTTTGGTAGTATACTTTAGTTTTATCATGATCGATGGTGACAGATTCGAGAATTAGATCTATCAGTGTCATTTTGTTTTATATTATCAAATGTCATTTAGAAAAACGATCTTTACTCTTCTATTAGATATCTCAATACTGAAAATTAACAGTGGACGAAATGATTGAATTTCGCATACGCCTAAGGTTACAAATTTCACTCAAATAGTATGATTCGTGGTACGCAATGGGACTAAAACTTTCAAAACCTATTTTCAACTATGCCCCGTTTAAAAAGGCAATATCTATTATAATTTATGAAATAAGAACGTACATTGGCTGTGAAGAATGAACATGATAAACGTTTGAATTTGTTGAACACGGGAAGCTAAATGAAAATATTAACTTTGTGAATGTTAGTAGGAAGTAATAGTGAGTTTCTAGAATTTTAACAGAAAGATGAATGCTGACACTGATTAAATTATTAATTACTGTAACACAATGATCTAGTACAAGGTGATGTACTCGGTTTATTTTTGGAGTTTTTATTATCATCTGGATATCCAAACCAAAGTATATAGGATAGTAATTAAACTCAGTCAGTCGGTCAGCTACAACATAAAACCAGGCACATATATACATCGGTCCAAGTTGCCATACCTCATTAGCACAACAAGGTGAACACCGGATTCATAGAAGTAGTTAATTTAGTGGTGGTAGTATATAAAAGATAGGTTGTATATAAGGATATAGTATAGGAAGGAAGAAAGAAAGTAAACTAGTGACTATATGTCAAATAATTAAACAACAAAGCTATTAGTGCATGAGAGCTTTATGGATAATAATAATAATAATGTGTGGTATTAACGGTAATCAGTCATAAGCAACGTAGAATCTGAAGCATGTGTGCGTCAATCCAAGTTGCCGTATCATATCAGGTTACTGTAATGAAATTATCAAGACCGATTCCAAGATTAAATTGAAGTACTAACGGTATCACAGGTAATTGAAAAGATTTAGAATAGACAATATTATTGGAGAAAAAAAAAGAAATCACAGAATAAAAAGTATGGATGATTTTAAAGTTCAAACTCTAAAGGAAGGCAAAGAGTGAATGCATCTTTGTCGTTATGACCAATTTATAAAATCTTCAACCACTAGTTACCATAATCACGTGGATCATTACAAGGTAAACCTCATTTATCAACAGCGTTCAGTCCAGATTTCACTAACTTCATGAACTGATGTTAAATCTCGGTTCCGTCGCCCCTAGCTTTCTTCAAGCTTACTACATCATACAACATCGTCCATCGAGTTAGGCTATGGTTTGGCATATATGTTACATACTCATATAATCTCAGTAGGTGAAAGCTCACTACCTCATCAGCTAATTTGTCATGTTTACCTAAAAATAAAGAATACCTGCTGCTTTTCTGAATAGTCTCAACTCTAATCTATGTATCGCAAAATAACTAAGCCACTTCTATAGTAGTCGATTCATCTCTACATTTCCTTCCTTCCTTTTTCAAATTTCTTAATATTTTATTTTGTTTGTTTAGCTTGTGACTATTTTAAACATTCTTCACATTCACTTGGTATTGTTTGTTTGAATCTTCCCATTGATGTTTAGAACTGATCAATTGCAGTCCTAAATAACGATGGGAAGACTCAAACAAACAATACCAAGTGAATTTGAACTTCACCACATTGCACAAGCTAGCAGCTACCAGGATTCAGTAGCTGAGTGGATAACGTGATGGTGTTTGATTCGAAAATTACTGGGTTCGAGTCTCAGAGTGAACATCAGATCTGAGATGCAGATAAATCCAGTTGACGGATCCCAATTAGGACGAAACGCGCGTCCTGGATTCCACTGCTAGTCACTATCCATCTTTGCTTACGATTCTTCACATTGTCTGTCAACTGCTATTTAATCACCATAGCCCTTTCATTGTTCATTCTAGTCAAGTTTTTGTTTTTAACTTATGGTTATTAGAAGTTATTTTATCTTTATCCAGTGAAATGTTTGATTCTCCATCAGTTAGCCCATTCAATTAATCATGTTTTCTCATATTATTATTCTTGTAATTAGAATTACTTTGCAAATGTCTTTTGGTAATTACTATCCGTAATTATATTGTTTTAAATGACTTTGTTTAACATAACAGTTAAGCATAATAAACCACTGTGGATCGGCAAATCAAGAGCAGCATATTTACAATTGAAGAACATCTGGAACTCAAAACAATTGTCAACCAACACTAAGATCAGAATTTTCAATACAAATGTCAAGATAGTTCTACTGTATGAGGCGGAGAAGTGGAGAACTACGAAATCCATCATCCAGAAGATACAAGTGTTTATTAACAGTTGTCTACGCAAGATACTTCGAATCCGTTGGCCAGAAACTAAAAGCAACATTCTACTGTGAGAGAGAACAAACCAGATTCAATCCAGTGGAGGAAGAAGCACTGAAAGTGGATAGGACACACATTTAGGAAATCACCCAACTGCGTCACAAGACAAGTCCTCACATGAAATCCTGAAGATCAAAGGAAAAGAGGATGACCAAAGAACACATTACGCCGAGAAATGGAGACAGATATGAGAAAAATGAACAAAAGTTGGATAGAACTAGAAAGGAAGGCGGAGGACAGGGTGGATTTGAGAATGCTGATCGGCGGCCTATGTTACATTGGGAGTAACAAGCGTAAGTGAGTAAGTAATAATAAATCATACAAATGATTCATGAGTGACTTTTATGTTAATGAACTAGGATTACACTGATTAACCTATCCAATATAAACATATACAAAGTCATAGTTTCGCCCCGAGTTGTTTTCTAAAAAAAGTATTATATTTACCAATCTTCAAATGCTTGTTGACTTAAATATTGTTTTTCATTTTGTTCTGTTTCTTTAGATTCTTTTTCACGTTTTTGTTTAGATAAAGAATTACGATGTTGTTTAATGATTGATTCATCTTTCTGGGCTTTCCATACATTGAATGCCTTCAACGAAAAGAATAAAGATAATATATAGATTATTAGTGCATGGGGATAAACAACAGTTTATTTATAAAATCCAGTTATTATTTTGTTGAAACTAATGTTTATTAAGCAAGGATGGATAGTGGCTAGCAGTGGAATCCAGGACGTGCGTTTCATCCTATATGCGACTCGTCAGCTGGATGTACCACTGCTAGCCACTATCCATCTTTGCTTACCATGCTTGTGAATTAAGGCTATGTCGAGGCAATACACACAGTATGCACATATACCAATTAGAGACTGACCAGTTGCAGTCCTAAAACATCAATGGGACGATTCAAACAAACAATACTAAGTGAATTTAATGTTTATTAATTTTTTTTACAAGAGATAAAACGTTCGTGAATGGATTGTCTTCAGAGATTTTTGTATTAGAGCGAACATCAACTGTGGGATGTAGGAGGTACATCCAGCTGATGAGTCCCAAATAAGACGAAACGTGCGTCTTGAATTCCACTGTTAGCCATCATCTATGTCTGCTAGAAAATATAAACAGATTGATTTTCATAATTAATAGTTTCAATATACTTTCTAAGGTGATACATTTTTTTTCTGAAGCTTTTAGGATAGGTGATTTGTGAGGGTTTACTTTCAATCATTTTATCTAATAGTGAACTATTGAAAACATAAAATACTGAATAGTTGTTCTATCTCATTTCGAGACTGCTTTTTGATGAACATCGATTAAACTAAAAACTTTCAGGGATTGTAGTGAGTATAGTCCCATTAGGCCACTAAGTTGACGTCTAACGTTATATATATTTCCAAATTCAGTCAATTAGCCATATTGTACGATTGTTTTTCATTGTTATCGGTTGATAGCCATTTTAACTTTGACATGATAGGATTTATTCGGTTACAATTTCTTGTTGGAACTTAGAAAATTCTTTGCGAATTCAATGACTACAGCTGATCAACTAATTGTTTTTGTTAAGCTGTGAGATTTAGAAAGGTGACGATAGCTAAAATCACAGGGAAACTTTTTCTATACAACTAATAGAGATCAGAGAAGATTGGAAAAACGTTTCATTGCAGTCCAGATATCCTCAGCAGCGTGTATCCACAATCTTTAAACAACGAAATATAGAAAAATCCCATATCACGTAATGGAAATGTTAGCTTTAGTAAATTGAGCTGACATGCGGCGGTCCATATTTTCAGCCATTTATTATTCAGTAGTTTTAATGGTTGTCTTTGTGATGTACAAAATCTCATTAAACCCCGCAATATTAGTAAGTAACAGTTATAAAAAACTTTGAACCTGTGTTTCATATCTCCAAGTACCCGTTAACTACAGTTAATTATCACTGGATTTTCTTAAGACAGTAAATCCTAAAATTTTTAACCAGTAGTTTTCAACCATGAAACGAAGTATTCTGCCATACCATGTCACTTTATTGACAAACAGCGTTGCAAACGTTATCGATCGAACATGATAGGCACAATAGGCTATGCAGAGTAAAATTACTGAATACCGAATCGTAACTCATCTTCTTTAAAAATGCTCTAAGTCACAACGATTAACCTGTAGATCATCAACATCCTAACTCAAAATCATACCAAAGTTACCAATTACTTACTTACTTACTTACGCCTGTTACCCCTCGTGGAGGGGCATAGGCCAACCACCACAATTCTCCATCCAACCCTATCCTGGACAATCCTTTCCAGTTCTTTCCACTTACTATTCATCCTTTTCATATATGGTTCTATTTCCCGGCGTAATATATTCTTTGACCTCTCCCCTTTCCGCTTTCCTTCCGGATTCCAAGTTAGGGCTTGCCTTATAATGCCCATTGATGATTTCCTTAATGTATGTCCTATCCACTTCCAACATCTTTTCCTAATTTCCTCTTCAGCTGGAAGCTGGTTTATCCTCTCCCATAAAACGCTGTTGCTGATAGTATCCGGCCAGTGAATGTTGAGTATTTTGCTTAAACAACTGTTTATAAATACTTGTACCTTCTTGACGATGGTTGTAGTAGTTCTCCACGTTTCAGCTCCGTACGTACAGTATGACTGTCTTGACGTTCGTATTGACGATTCTCACTCTGAAGTTAGTTGAGAGTTGTTTTGAGTTCCATATGTTCTTCAATTGTAGAAATGCTACCCTTGCTTTGCCAATCCTCACCTTTACATCTGCATCAGATCTTCCTCGTTTATCAATGATGCTTTCCAGGTACGTGAAAGATTCCATCTCTTTCAGAGTTTCTCCATCAAGTGTGATTGGGTTGGTGTTCTCCGTGCTGTATTTGAGAATCTTGCTTTTTCCTTTGTGTGTTGAGGCCTACTGATGCAGAGACTACTGCTACATTTGTTGTTTTCATCTGTATTTGTTCGTGTGAATGGGATAGGAGAGCTAGGTCATATCTGAAGTCCATGAGATCCATGAGATTCCCATCCTATAAGTTTATCTCGTGCTTCTCTAGACAGCATCAGAGCAAGTCCCTGAGTGTGTGGAGCATTTTTCCCTTCGTGACCGGAGTAAAGCAGCATCTCTGATGTACCTAGCCTTTGCTGTTCAGCTTGGGTCCAATGGGTTTTGCTGATTCCAAGTACTGCCAATTTGTATCTCCTCATTTCCGTTGCTATTTGACTGGTCTTCCAGGTCTCCCACATTGTTCGGACGTTCCATGTACCTATCAAAATTGTTACTTTGGTTGTTAGAAGGAACATTGGCCTCGTGACTTCCGAGAAATCTCGGCTTTCATCCTAAGGCATCCGAATTGTTCCTTCGACTTGGAGGGCAAAGTTTAAACGGTTTAAATTGTTTATCCTGGTAGGCGTTTTGTAGTAAGATTTTTTTCTACGGGATGGGGTTGCTGAATTCATGCCCAACCCTCCTCCTTTACCCGGGCTTGGGACCGGCAGTAACTCTAGAAGAGCTACAGGCGGAGTTAAAATTACCGATTGACTTTCAAGTAATTCACATTCGATATAAAAAAAAACATTTTTATGATCAAACTGATGTAAACTTTGTCCAGTTCTTAAGTAATTTGTCAAATGCTTTCTACTAAGTTGCAATGTGGATACTAGTCTAAGCGGTTTGACGCTGAGTTCATGTAACCAGGATTCAGAGTTTAAATTGTTACTACAAAAGTGTTCGACATGCGTTCCGCTCTAGATTGTAAAACTGAGTAGTGTAGGTTCGGATCTCACAAGGCACATTATTTCCCTCAAGATTGAGACATGATTTGCTGACGAGCGCCCACTAGGATAGAACTAAGATTCACAGTTTGCTGTTGACTAAACCCAATCACCTAACATGTATATAATCGACTTCACCTTTAGAAGTACACTAAATAATCATACCTTTTCTGAGTTCAGTTTACGTTCCTGTTCTTCTTCAAGCTTCTTTTTCTGTGCCAATTCTTCTGCTTTACGTTTTTTAATTGTATCGATTAAAAGTTGATGTTTACTTTGCTTCCATGCTTGAAAAGAGATTTCATTTGATTTCACTCTTTCCAATTTCTATTTTAAAGAAAATATATGATGAAATTTAACAAACTGAAGGTTTACAATCAAACAGATTTATCTAACAGTATGTTGTTTGTAAATATACAAGCTATTATGAACAATCATTAAAAAAATATGGATAGTGGCCAGCAGTGGAATCCAGGACACACGTTTCGTTCTATTTGGGACTCATCAGCTGAATGTACCTGCACCTCAGAATTGATGTTCACTCTGAGACTCGAACTCAGTAACTTTCGAATCAAATACCATCATGTTATCCACTCATCTACTGAGTCCTGATAAATACTAGCTTGTGCAATGTGGTGAAGTTTAAATTCACTTGGTATTGTTTGTTTGAATCTTCCCATCGTTATTTAGGAATGCAACTGGTCAGTCTCCAATTGGCATATGTGCATACTATGCGTATTGTCTCGATATAACCTTAATTCACAAGCATTGTAAGCAAGAGACTGACCAGTTGCAGTCTTAAACATCAATGAGAAGATTCAAACAAACAATACCCAAGTGAGATCAATACAATATTTGTTCAGTCACTTAGTATTATTCAAATTCAGTTGGTCAAATTTCTAATGTGGATACTGGTTTGAATAATTCCATAATGCATACACCTTGTTTTGTTATTAGGTAATTAGAGGCAATCTTTTATAAGTATAGATTATAAATAAATAAATCAAAATACAAAACAATAATCATTTGAATTGGTAACATGTTTTACCTCTTTCTCTTTTTTTGTTTCATCAATTTCATTACGTAAATTTGACATATGTTCAATACGTGCACTTTTAACTAACCGATTTCGCCATGATTGATAAGCTAAATCACGTAAAACAACTGCATTCAATGGACAATCATTATTTTTTGAATATAATTGATGGGTAGATTTGTTAGATACTTTTGAATTAGCTAAATGATATGAACTATTTGATCGTTTAATTGATGATAATCTTGGTGATGATTTGATACTATCATTTGATTGATAAGTTGATTTTATAATTATATCATGGGTTTCTGTATTATTATTATTGTTAATTATATTTTGTTGTTCTTTTGAAGTAATTACCACTGTATTAACAAGTGATTGATCATTTTGGTCAGTCAAAATAATATCACAAGTTGTTGGTAGGCTTGATGAAAAAGAAGAGGTAGGAAAAACAACATAGATGACTGATTGTTACATGAGAAATCTGGAAAATACACTATTTCGACCAATAATTGAGAGACTTTATCAATATAATATATATGGATAACATAGATGAGTTTAACATTCAATCAGTCTAAGGCAACATAGAACCCAGCAAATGTGTGCATCGGTTCAAGTTAGTACACCATATCAGTATGGTGAAATGCAATAACCAATGTAAGTTCCCAGAGTAGTAGAAGTGGTAACAGTATTAGTAGTAAATTTACTTAGTATTATTCGTTTGTATCTTCCCATTGATGTTTAGGACTGCAACTGGTCAGTCTCTTATTGGCCATATGTGCCATATGTATTAGTAGTAGTAAAAATGATTAGGAATAAACAATATTATTTGAAAGGAAATAATTAATTTATAAAATAAAATGCTTAAAATCGTTTTCAAACGTAAGATCCACGTGAACACAAGGAGAAAATGCATTTACGCTATTGTGATCGGTTCTGAACAACATTGACATCTTCAACCATTGGTTCCAATCTTTACGAGGACCTCAACCCAGTATTCTGGACCTATCTACACGGTTCAGTTAACTAGCTAATCTACTTTTACATCAGCATAAATCTCCCTCTGAGATAGGCAGTGATTGGGTTTTAAAAAGGAAGGAAAGTCAATTAATTTGTATACGATATAGATTAGAAATGGATGATTAATTAAGAAGCTAACAGAAAGGCATCACAGTATTTTCATGGTATACCACAACTACTAAGATCAATGAATCATCAAATTTCTAAGGGGAAATCCTAGTGATGAAAAAAATATTTCTCCTGATCGAATGTTAGACTGTTATTAAAATAGTTTATTATTTTTGAACCTCTGAGTTTTACTGATGAATAAAGAAAATTGACCTCTCTTTCCACTGATACTGCTAAAAAGTATGCTATCATGTATCATCTGATCCTAGTCTCAATCCAATTCTTTATTTTGTAACACATAGGTAAGAATGGAGCACAATTCAACTCAAAGAGAGTGAGAGGGGTGATAGAGACTGCAAATAAAGACCCAGTTCATATTCCAACACTAATGTTCAAATAATGTCTCAATACAGTCCATCTATATGTATATTTACGTTACAGTGCTTCTTGATAACATTTAAAGTAACCATCGCTTTAATATAAATCATGGTGCAGTAATTAGTAACTGAAATTATCAGCATGCAGCCGAATATTATGAAAAATGAATATCATTGTAAACTTAATCGATTGTCTCAACTTTGATCTCTTCATAACATAATCACTTGAATCCAACTAAGGAGAAGATTTAGGTTTGAGGATAATCATCCTTTTATCACTGACCAAAAAAAGTGAAATATCTATTGTTCACAAGTATTTCTTCGTTGATTTAATGGTTGAGTACAGCATATAAGAACATAATTTTCACTAAAAATTTCATTTTCATCCTCTAAAGTTATATATATATATATATATATATCTTCCATGATCATGCTACTGTAGTGCATCCTAAATTAAAAAAATAAAGAATGCTAACTCATAGAAAGTTAGGGCTTGAAATGAAATCCTCAGTAAGGACTGTTCTCCTATATGTATCACCCATCCATTAACTGGATGGAAAAATACCCGATAATGTTTAATACTGCAAACGCATTGAAAATATACGCTACAAGTTCTATTTGATGATATCTAAAATGGTATTGAAAGTTTCATAATTGAACTATCATTTCTTCAGGTTAGAAAACGTATCACATTAGCTACACGTTCTTCTGTCATTTTAAGATTGCAACTGAACAAATGCATATATTCTTAAAAACCATGACAAAACATCAGAGTGTCGGTGAACATATTAGTCTAAAAGTTAAAACTTTGTTTATTAGACCTAAAGATTTCTAGCTTTACTCTTATGGGGTTTAAAAGGATATTTAAAAGAAAATCACAAAACTAATGGTAATGAGTAGTTCAATAAACATTATTTTTACTTATTGTTGTTATATTCTAAGATTACATCAGATTATATTTATTTATTTAAACACATAAATATTGATACAATGAAGCACTAGATACTTATGCGCCGCACAAATCTCATTTGATTTGTGTGAGGGCTGTGATACTGCCCAGGTGCCCAAACTGAAGCAGGTGGTTTTCTTAGGGGGCCACACCTGGAGCCTTTGACCTAAAGGTCTGATCCACAAGGCAAAGGGGCATTGTAAGAAGATGCAGTCCCATGATAGCCGGTGATAAATGATTGATTCATACGCCATTTGGTTTGGAATCAGGGTTTTCCAACTCCCCTAAGTGGACTTTCCGTGTCCAACAACGCGGTTTAAGCGCCAGGCCTTCGCTTTTCATCCTCTCAATTTCGTAAACAACACCCCCGCCAAGAGAAGGCAGTGAGTAGGACTTCCCTGACAGAGGCCATATATTCGCTGGCCATGTTAGAGCATTTCGGGAGAAAGAGCAGACTCTCCCCGCTTTCGGCTGTACCAGGGCATTTGGGGCGATTACATCAGAAGCTATTTTAAAACGTTTTAATTAAATTTTTTTACCATTTAATAAATAAAACCTATATATTGGATGAAACCACAGATTATCGATAAGTATAAGTTGCTTTTGATAAATAAATATTCTTAAACTTTCAAATAAGGCACAATATTTGTGTTAAAACGAATCCGATTATAAGAGCAATATTTAGCTTACTTTGAACTAAGAATATGTCTTCTAGTGCGTATAGTAGGTTTTATAACAGGTTCTATTTCATCTGATGGTCTTGCGTTATCATTTCCCCTCCTAAAAGTGTTATGAATCACATCATAGAACCGTATAACATCATTTAAAGTTTAATAAAAATTGGTTCAAATTTGATACTGAACAAGAACAATAGTGATAAAATATAATAAAATGTTCAAACATACTATAAATCATCATCACCGAACACGACATTAAAAGTAGTGCATATTCCAGTTTCTATGGCTCTATCGTAAGCTCATCAAATTTCCACTTTTTCTATTCAGTTCAGTAATATTGATAAGTACGGAAGCCATTGAAATAATGACTTCCAAAAGCATAGACGTCTAGGAGTAATCAGTGACTCATAAGTTGAATGAAATGGATCCTGAAATATCATGAGACAGTTAGTATTCGTCAAATTTAAAGTTGATCACCACTGAGCACGCAGAGAGTCCCATACATACCGGCTATCGACTGTTCAGACTACTATGAAAAACTTAATGTTGATTAAATTGACAAGTTTACTTGTCTATCGTTTTCTCAGTAAAGCTCGTTTGATTATCATTGGTTAACAAAAGTGAGCCAATAACTAAGTCATATATGGCCATTCTATAGAATTTTTAATTTCTAATCTATTAAAAAGACCTTGGTTTTGATTGACTAACCCTGTAAATAGCAATCTCAGTGACGAAGTCTAAAAATGTCTCACTGTTTACTGTCTTATTATGAGAACGACCAATGTGTGAGACGAACACAGAAGAATTCTTATTTAAATGACGTTTTACTGATCAAATTTCGATTTATCGCTAGATTTTGAAATGATATTATAATCCTCAACACTTTGTTGCAACCACATTTTTTAAAATCCTGAATGTAAGCAAACGGGACTTGGAGGTCTTCTACTCATAGATTCATCCCTAAGTAGTTGAGTAACGTATTTAAAGGTTCATTAAAAAATTGATCCGAGACAGTCAGCTTGTCGTCATGAACAAAATATATGAGCCAATAGATGATCAACTGTTTCCATTTTACAAACAGAATGTGATTATTATTGGTGGTTGAAACAATTATCCAGGAGTTTAGTCATTCGTGTCTCCAAAGAATCTCCTGCATGTGTAGAAACTGGAGGTAATAACTAAGATTACAAAGTGAAATCAAAATTTGTCGCTCATTCAAGCGACCAAAAATAAAAACAACGTTTTCATTTAAGCACAAAACTTATACGCTCTGATAAACACTGTCAACTGCTTCTTACTTGTTTAGATAATTGTGTAGTGCAAAGAGATTGTAAATATTAACATATTACAGAAGTTGAAACAGACTGAGGGTTTGGTCAATGAATCTTTCAGAAATGCATCTTGTCTGTTTCTTTTATAATTGATGTTTCTGTGCCTTAACAAGTGGTAATATTCTTTGAAATTACAAAGACTATTTGCTTTTTGAGGTAACGTGCCGTACATGAACGTCCATAGAAGAACATGCGAATATAGTCAAAATTATCTCAAATTGGTCCGTGATAAGACCAGGTGTTTAAAGTTAATGAATACATAGGCGAAAAATCAAGCTGAAATCGATCAACTTTCACTAAACTCACTCTGTAATTTCAATGCATGTGAGACTACTATCTTTCACACTATTCATACTTGTCGGTGCAACACTTGTTTCATTTGTTTGATGAAATAATTTGCCTTGTGAATTACTGTTTAGTTTTCGATTCTCCTCACTTAATTTCTTGCCATTACTTCCAGTTCCAGAAAATTCCGCGTTCAGATGTTCATCGTCGGTTATTTGATTATTTTCACACGTCTTTGACTCATCTAATAGAACGAAAACCTTTTTCAGATTCAATTTTGTGAAGTTATGTGGTTATACTTTGAGCAAAACTGTTTACAGTTATTTAGACACTGAATTTCAACCTGTAATGACTGAATGTGCTCATCTGTAGCAGAGTAATTTTTCAGCTTAATTTTATCATTACTAACGCCTCGTTAGTTAGATAGATATTTTCTTAGTTTGACAGAATAACTATTTTTAACTGTACATAATAAGAGTTTCCATAATAAAGGCTCAATATATTGTAAAATTATCAAAGAAGAGATTTGAAAATCTTTGAATTTCATAACTACACTATGGACCGATTTTAGTGATATAACTATTGAAAACAGAACAACTGTTTCCTTCTAGCACGAGGATCCCTATCACTGTTGGTCCACAACCCTACGAAGGTTGGACACAGAACCTACAGGTTTCCCTAAACATCATAACGTTGGTGCAATACGCGAAAAGAACGAATGTTTGAGCTTTTTGGAACTCAATGGTGGCCTAACCACAACTAATTCATGATGTAAACAACAATGTTAAGTTCGGTTAGTCTTTTGGATAAATAGACCATAGAGTTAGGTAATAGTCCTTTTTTGCTTAATAATTCAGTGAACTGATTTCGTGTAAAGCACATCAGAAGGTGCTATCACAATCAAATGTTCTTAAAATATGAGAAAATTTAAATTCACAGTCCTTGAAATATGAATCATACAGTTTTAACTACAGACTTTTTTTACAGTAATCAGAGGTTTTAAATATTCGCTTCGAGATACGTCGACAGGATCCTTTTGAAATACTTTCGAACGAATTTGGACAGAATGTCAAATCATCACCTCCATAACTCATTTAAACTGTCCAGTTTGAACGTAGTTGACTGGATTTCTCAGTATAAAACCAGAGGTTAAACATCATCCTAAGTACTATTAAATGATTTGGAACTTCCACAGCAAAGAAACAAGATTACGAATCTGACACATCACTATTTTAGCCAATGGATGAATGTCTAATACTTTTTCAATGATTATTACTCATTACGAGTATGTATAAATGAAAAAGCTAACTTTTGTGCGTATATATGTTTTCCATAATGCGCTCAGTCGAATTGCGTTCCCAATCCGTATGTGGAGATTCGAGTTGTATCTTAGGAGCTTCAGATTCTGGCGTGAAGACACAAAGTTATTAAAACTAAAAAATTTACCTGGAGAGCTCAGTTGTTCGTTTCTATATTCAGAGGTCGTTCGAACAACCGGTGAGGAATTATTCGAGCCCTCTTTATAACTCCAGTTATCAGAAAATAGTTTGTCAGTCATATGAACTAATAACGAAAGTAATAGGAAATCAATTATTTTTTATAAACAAACTTTGGGGAACATTCTCTTTATGTTGATGGTTTTTTACTTCTTTTTTGTTGATTTTCTCATTTTTCTTCTTATCTGTTGCTGGAAAAAGCTCTGAATAGTCTTCATCAAGCAGTTCAAGTGGCGAGAAAGGCATTTTCAATCAAGTCATCACATAGTTTAAAAAGCGTGCACGCGTTGTTATGACAGCATCATAATCAAATGCAAACGATAAGTTGAGCAAATATAGTGCAGGGTCACTGAATATCGAATATAGTGATAAATTGAGATAAACATAAAGTGAATATTACTGAAAATGGTAGAATTGCGACTCCTACTGAGATACTTGTAGTTATAGTTATTACTAATAATGTCTGGTAGGCTCAGAAACATATCATTGTTCCCGGAATAATCATTAAGAAAGTAGATCAATAAATATCAAATAGTTTTTCCAGCCTCATCAATATCAAGGCCAACCGACACGCATGAAAAGTTACATGTAATGGAGTAGCTCGTGATATCGAGTATACACTCAGTATTTCCTTAATCTCTTCCTACCAACACATTTCTTCCGTACCAGCACGATTGTCTCATATAGTTATTAAAGTAAATGATGTACCTGAATACCACAAAAGCGTAATTTACTTCGGGTTTTAGATGCGAGTCAGATTTCGAAGTAAACTGAGAGGTCGTATTAATTCCACTCATCTAGAGTAGACTTTAATCATCGATACGGATCGTCAACATTGGTTATCTACACAATGCTTAGGAAAGACATAATTGAACTTAAAAGCGCTTGGTAATACTGATAGACTGTTGCTTTCGGAATAAGAACTCAGCTTTCGGACTGGCGAGGTTAAGATTTCAGTAACAGAGTGAGTGATAATAACTACCACAACAATAAAATCATATTTCAGCTTGATTTAATTTATTGGTTAGATTGTATAAAAAAGATCCCCAAAAATTGTTGCAATGTGTTTTCTGTAATATGGATCTTTACAAGGAAGAGAATGAACTGTAGTGGTGAGCAATTAGCTGAACTATAGTTTAGTAGTTATTTCTATCTGAAGAGGTCCGGTTTAACATCGCCACTAGATCGGAGCATAACCTGAATTGAAGTCTTTTTTCCTGGTACGTATAATCCTTTCTGAAGTTATTGAGGCCCGAAACTAAGAGCGCCAGTCTGCAGATATTCGTTAATGTGCTAACCTAAATCACTTATTGGAAAGCCAAAACTGAATATTGAAATCCGAAACCATATTAGAGACTTCGTTGGATTTTAGTGTAAGTGAAAAATGATTTGCTGATTTCTGTAGATGTTTGTGAGCATTTGTAAGTGCGTTATATGTCCTTCAGTTTGATTTTAGCCATTTCTATTTCAATAAATGGCCAAGTAGAAAATAGCCATTTATTGTCATAAAGTCAGTATCGGAATTTAGTCTCCCGTTCTTAGACCATAGAAACTAATTTCGTTTATCATATACTGATGAAAGTGACATGTAAAATATCTATATATATGTAAAAATATCTATATGATCAAAAGGATGTATGTCAGCTAGATTGGAACTTGGGGCAAACTCATGGTTTTAATTACATTATTTTAGACATACCTATCTCCATAATTTGTGCAAAAGAATATTATACAAAGTTAAGGTTAATGTTTATTTCGAACAGAGCATTTTCCCAGCTTTTATCTAAAATTGACAGCAGTGATTTGTAGAGGATGACTTAAGTAATTTTTACACAACACCCTTAACTGAAGTTATCAGAGAGCCCACAGAAACATATTCGTTGGTGCAGACTCAAATTCGACAGAGCGGGCCTGCCTATTTCTTTCCGTAAGAATGGGATCTAGTTTGACACCTAATATCCATAGTATTGTTGAATAAACCTTTTCCTACTGCATATAAACAATGTCGGAAAAAGCAAACACTTTGTGTGTAAAGTACACTGCTTTTGAAAAATTGTGGTTATGATGGTAAAATTATGGCGAATGAGAATCGTATTCCACCGCTACTTATTGTAGCGTTGCATGACAGTACCAGGTTGTTCTATTGACAGAACACCCAATGTAATTCCACCTTATATGAAATTCTGTTCCTCATAGGTGAAAAAACGTGTGTTGTAAACACTTTCCCATCAAAATGTGACCCCTTGGGAATATTATTGTCCAAATATTTTATCTAAGGACGAGTGTATCTAGTGTTCGTACTGTACACAATCCATTTGTTCTTGATGATGCAATATAGAATGATCAAACACGTTAATCGCCGGCATAGTTTAATTCAAACAGATCTTAGGGACCAACCAAACCGAAATGGTCTCTGAAAGTGATAAAAAAGGGAGAACATGGAATTTTTCAATTATTTTTAAAGCATGAAAATAATGTAAATGTTAAAAATGGATAAAAATATGTGCAATGATGCCTTTGACAGAGACACTTAAGACATACCGATACATAAGTAAAGACCATTGTGACTGATGGTACCATAATGCTCCTGCATCTTTATGCATGTGGAACACTGAGCAACAAACAAATAAGCAGAAGAACACGTATCATAAGTCGCTGATTTAAATGACATAGAATTCTTTATAGGTCGTGAATCAAAGACCACATGTTTCCGGGATTTGTTATAAATCAAAGGGTTTGAAACAGTTAGTGACTTAACTGCTTGATTTGCATAAAAGTAGACCATACACGAAAACAAATATTTTAAATTTCTGTCTCCACTCTGGCACGACTGAGAGGAATTTAATCTCATCGAATATTATTGTGAGTAATTTACTGGAGTCAAACGCCTCCAATCTCTAAATTAGACAGGCGCATGATTTGGAGAAGCTCGGGGAATATATCCGTGGTATCTTACCAGATAAATCTAGAGGAGATCAGGTCAAAAAATTGGTTAGAATATGCAAGAGGACTGACGAGTGTTTAACCCGACCATATAGGCTCTTTAAGATAATCCCAGGGTCGGAGAAGCAACGTGATCTCCTTTTAAGTAGCGCTCGTAGTGACGACAATACTGATGTTTGAATAAGGCTTGATATGTCTCTTGAAGACAGGATTAAAAGGAAGACGGTACTAGCTGGACTAGAAACATGTCATCAAACATTCAGGAAGGTCTACGATTAGTCGGTCTTCGAATTGTCGGGTTTGGTAGTGAATTCTTCCAAGACCTGTGTGGATAGGAGTTTTATATGCCAACAATAGTAGTTCAAGATGTAAATTCTATGATCTAGGAGCATTATTGTACGAATTAAGGCCACTCATTGTAGCTGTGACGGAAACATGGTTAGTCCATGACTTTGACATTACTCCAGAATTATCCGAATACCACTACCTAAGAAGTGACAGACATAGATGCAGGAAAGGAGGCGGCATTCCTTTATACATAACTAATAATATAAATATCCGCTCCTCTCTTTGCAAATTCCATGATAGCGGAACTTGTGAAGACATTAGCTGTGAGCTCACTATCGGATGTTTTACGTTTATATTCGGTGTCATATATAGATCCAGTTATTGTAAGATTAGGGATACTTGTAAAGCGTTGATAAGTAAGACCAGATGACCATATAATAAAACAAATAATTAGGGATTGTAAATATAATCCGAAACAGTTATTCTCGTATATAAAAAGACGAACTCAAAGAAGTGATGGAATACTATCTATTTTGGGACAAGAAAATCTGTTAATATTGGCAAGAAACGATGCGGAAAAGCTGAAGCTTTATCAGAATGTTTTAGTAAACTACTTTCTATTAGTAGTGAGGAACGACCAACGATTAATTGTCATTGTGGCGGCTTGTTGATTCGCCCTGTAGTTATTAAGAAAGGTGCTGTCTTAAGACTACATCTGTATTTCAAACCTGATAAGTTCCGTGGTCTCGATGATATTCATCCTAGGATTATGAAAGTCCTATCGGATGTAGTCAAGACTTCTCAAAGACTGGATTATGTCTACCATTCTGATCTTAAATTAAAACTGGAAACATTTAGAATAAATTATACGGTCATAGACTGGATAAGTGACTTTCTACATGACAGGAGACAAAGAGTAAGTGTAAACGGAGCTCTCTCATCGCGGGAACCTGTAAGAAACAGAGTTCCCTAAGGCACAATCCTTGGTACCCTTCTCTTTTTACTCTGTGTAAATGAATTGCCAACTGCAGCTAAATCATCCGTTCTACCTTTCACTGACAACATAAGGATTTGGAGACTCATATGTCAGATATAATAGTATTACAGGATGATCTCGACTCATTTGTGACATGGATGGACGGGTGGTTACTAGAAGTGAACCTCAACAAGAGTATGGTGATGTAGTTAAATAACTTTGATGATTTGTATCACTACACAACATGTGGATTTACGTTACTCAAAGTAAGAAACTGTAGAGATTCAGGAGTCATGCTAAGCATTGATCTCAAAAATACCAGTCACTGTAAGGCTGCTGCTACAAAAGGCTATAGGGTATTATAGTCTATTCGTAGGTTTTTCCAGAATTTTGATGAAGAAATGTTTAGATTATTATACCACATTTAGAACATGAGATTGAAGCAGCGAGTCATTGTTTCAAATGTGAGGCGGATAAGCTAGTGCGAGTCCAATGCCGAGGGACTAAAATGGCAAAAGGTCTATCTGGCCTAGTTTATGAATACAAACTTAGACACCTTAACTTATTTCCGTTATCTTACCGCAGAATACGAGATGATCTGATATTGGTTCATCGTACACTAAACGACGACTTTAACATTATTATGTCTCATCTTTTCCTTCCGTCTAGAACTGATCATTTGAGAGGACATTGGAAGAAAGTTCAAAAGCCGAGATCAAATCTTCTACGTCTGGAGTTTCGTTTCCCTCACCGAGTAGTGAAATACTGGAATCTATCTGTAGCCCAGGATCGTTTACCAAAAGACTGGAAGAACTCGATAGTAAGTCCTGTCTTCGAAACAAATACGAAACATAAACCTGAGAATTACCGGTTCAATAGCCTGACTAGTTTGGTTGTCAAAATATTGGAAAAGATTATACGGAAGGAGCAGTTTAAGTATCTCGACGAAAACTGGAAGAAGCAGCACGTTTTTAGAACAGGTTATCTCTGTCTCACTAACTTATAGTGGCTCGTGAAGGCTGATGCGCTTTTAAAGACCAAAAGTTAATTATAGACGTAGCCTATATTGATTTCAGTTAAGCTTTCGACAAAGTTCCTCACAACCGGCTGTTATATAAGCTAAGAAATGTCGGGATTCGGTGCTATTTATTGATGTGGATAATAACTTCCCAGTTGGGAAACGGTGTTCAGTGGGGTCCCCCTGGGAACAGTTTTGGGGCGTGTTATTCTTCTTGTACATAAATGATCTTCCTCGTTTACTATCGTCATCGGTCTTGCTATATGTTGACGATGTCAGTATATGGAGAGCGATACAATGTGAGGGTGATAGGTTAGAACTCCAAAACGACCTGGGGAAATTGTTTGAATAGTCCCAAACCTGACAGTTGCCGATAGATATTTCCAAGTGTATTGTGATGCATATTTGTCATCAAGGTACAGATACATGCACGATGAATAACACTGAACTACCTATTGTCCAGACACACAATGACTTGGGAGTCATCGATAGCCAAGACTTAAAGACTACTTCACACTGCCGTGCAATAGCCGCCAAAGGTTTTCGAACATTATGGTCAATCCGTAGGGCTTTTAGTTATATGGACGCTAGAACGTTTTTGAATTTGTATACAGTGTTCGTGCGTCCTCAACTTGAGTACTGAATAAAAGTGCTTAAAATATGACAGTGAGCATTTAGAAAGGGTCCAGAGAACAGCAACTTAACTGATTCCTGGAATATCGAAGCTCCAGTGTGATGCTATACTGACCAGGCTAAACCTATTCCACGGTCATTTCGAAGACCTGGAGGCGACTTGATTACAGTTTTCGAATAGCTTGGTGATAAATTTGCAACTGATATGCACTCATTTTTCTTATCTTCACAAACAGAACATTTACGAAGACCCTCCAAAAATGTTCACAAACCTAGAACGAATTACTTGTCAGCTGACTATCGACTTTCCCATGGAATAATCAACGAGTGGAATTCATTACCTCAGCTCATGGTTGAGGCTCCATCCGTGGACTCTTTCAAAAGAAAGTTGGGTCAACTGAGATACCATCATTGGCAGGACTAACACAGGCCATCAAGCCTTCTGTTCTCTCTGAGCTTCAGTCTTCAGTAATAAGGATAGTAGGTTGATGAACCTGTGTTAATCCTGACAGATTTCCTTCCAGTGAAGATCCAGTTTCTCTTTGAAAATGTTCGCTGATGGGGCTGATACCAATTGTTCGGGTAATGCGTTCCAGTCATTGACCACTCGATGAGAGAAATGGGACCCCACCTTTAGTTTATTAGATCGCGGTTTGTGAACCTTCTTGCTTTGACCTTGGAGATTATCAGTGCTGGAGGGAGCAAAAAGATAAGACATGTTGACACCAATTCATAATTAAAGATACGAAATTCCAGTATATAAGGTCACCTCGTGTCCTACGATAAGATCAGGGGTAGGATTTTGACGTTTTAAACGCTCATCGTAAGGGAGTTTAGAAAGACCCACACGCTGGACACGCTTAAGTGAATTAGTATCTTTTATCAGACGTGGGCTAGTTGCTTGGATACAGTATTTTAAGCGTGACCTTACATAGGTGGGATATGAAATCCGAAATACCTCCTCGTCAAAGCATTTAAATGCTCTGCGAAGCGAAAATAGCGCAGGATAATCTTTGGAAGAAGCTGCGCTGCAGTGCGTAGTAGTTTTCAAGTCGTGACTTATAGTTACTCCTAAGTCTTTGTGCTCTTGAAAATGTGGAAGAGATTTACCATTAATGGTATAATGGTAACTAATATCGTGCCCGATGTGCATGAACATGCTCTTCCTGGAATTAACTTCCAAGCCACAATCATGAGCCCATCTAACTAATTCGTCTAAATCAGCTTGCAGATGACAACGATCAGTCTCACTTCTTATTGTCCTCCAGATTTTAACATCATCCGCAAACAATAATGTCGACGACTTAAGTAATAAAGGTAGTTCATTAACATACAGAAGGAAAAGCAAAGGGCCTAAGATGGTGCCTTGGGGTACACCACTTTTGACCGGTTTCCATTCGGATGGCGTTCCATTGACTCTCACTCTCTGTCTGCGGTCACATAAGAAGCTTCCTATCCATTCCTGTATAGCACCTGTTATACCAAAGCTCGAGAGCTTTTGCATAAGACCTAAGTGTGAAACCTTATCAAACGCTTTGCTAAAATCTATAAATATCACGTCGACAGACTGGCCGTTGTCTAGTGCAGCTGTCCAATCCTCTCTCGCAATGAGTAAGTTAGTTAAGCATGAATGCTTGTTACGAAACCCATGTTGCTCGGGAGTTAACAGATTATACGAATCTATGTGAAAGTAAAGTGAAACTGAGAACACGTAACACCAACACTTTCTGTTGATATTTTCAAAACGTGATTGTACCTCTCTAGTGTCACAAACTGCAAGGACTAATATATGTCAAGAGACCTCCTATCGTTATTACTGAAGACCGAGATTTAGAGATTGAGGTTTGAAGGTTTTGCAGCTTTTCAAATGCTTTCAAGGTTGATTTCAGCAATTAAAAATATTGTTGTGCTACATGTTTTCGTATGAAGTTAATGCACCTGTTTATAAATTCGAAGGTGGTTTAAATTTCTATTTCGTATTTCATTCTCAGTCTATGTGACGAATAGTGCATTCTGAATTGCTCGCACTACAAGTGTTGTTGATCGTGTACATACATATATATTTATAAATAAAAATTTAACGACTTAAGTTGTCGGTTTTATCTTATAGTATTCGTAAAAAGTCACAATCTTTTAGCTCATGTCAATAATGAGCGCAAGAGTTCATCAATCACACGCTTTTTCCCAAAGCACGTTTTTAGGGTCGTTTTCCGAATAAGCATGGACTAGAAATTTTTTGTGAATTTTTTGGATTTTCTGTATTTGCTGCTCAGTCAGAGTCTTGTCGAAGAGAAGGGTAGATGTATATTGGTACTTAAGGGATAAGTTTATTATTACAAGGAGTATGTTATCTTGCCATTTCCGATTTTGAGAGGTCTTGTAATGTTTTAAACCTCCGATTTCTAACATCACAATAAATGCCCTCAATAATTCACACGATTTTGTTAACTAATCGGAATAACTTGTTGGTTGCGCATACAAACCTGTCTGTCTTTAACCTCTCAGCGTACCCCTACGTCAGGCAATATTGCACAGAGAAATGTTGAAATTGTATCCATGTTTGATTTCATCACTCAGTTTAAATTTACAATCCAGTATATTTCTTGTAGATCCTTGACTTAAACCTTTCTTGCCACGCCAACACTACTCGTTTGAAAGCCCCACCACAAGTCTTGAAGTCACTTGTTACGACAATTATTCTTGTGACATGCTAATAGGGTTTGTCTCACAGTCATCCAGTCGAGCTAAAGCAGTTATGTCTAACGTCTTTTTGTTCCATTCTCTGCTCTGGAGGGTAGTTTTAATACTGTTAGATCAAAATGTCAGGCAGTAAGGATCCATATAGTTCACACTTTTATGGGGTGGTAGAGTAAGTTCATATCTTCACCTCGGTAAAACTACAAATTCAGTAGACCATTAATCCCAAATATTGGGTGGTAATAATAAAACTCGTATTTGAATTTGTGTATTTCTCTTTGGTGAATCTCTGTTGTTAGTCATAAGACTATAAAATGTAAAAACGTTTTTCATGCATAGTTCACGTTTCTTAGTTGATTGACGTAAGGGCTAGTACAGACGTACATTCTCCCAAATCACCACACTATACAAACATTAGTTTATTGAGATAAATAAATAGAGGGGTTGGAATAATGTAGTAGCAATGAAAGCAATATTAACTCTTGGAGATATGGTTCGAAAAGAAAGAGTCGAAATGTATGCATGCAGGAATACTAGAATCCAAGATCTAGGGGAAGATAAGTAGTTAATATACCTACATCATTGTAAAAGATTCTGACATATATTAACCACCTATCATCTTATCCCAACTAACTCCTATACTAGCTGAGATTAATTTTCAGAGTACTTACATATATACGTGACTCATGTTCAGACAACTGAAATCAATGAAAAGTCACGAATAGACCAAGAGATTTATCTTCTGCGCCCACTAATACCAGAATGACCTACTCTGTAGTTCCATTCAATTACATAAATGCTTCAAAGGTATGTTAAAGTACTAGTTACTCATAGACATCTTTAACCCTTGAATGCTTGGTTTCACAGTCAAAAATATTGGTTTGAGGATCATTTATACTACTTTAAGGCAAGGGTTCATTGTTTTTATGATTGTCATTTTGCCAAGTGAATCATTATTAATACTGGTTCTTTTCCCCTCTAGATTCCAAGTTTAAGAAAAACGTCACGATATTCCAGGTAGTCTCGTGGCAAATGCAATTCATTTTCAAGCATCACTTTGTTAAGTAACAAGCTAAATATGGTTTCGAAGTAAGCTAGTGTCATAGTGTTCCTTTAATTCATTTATTCAATTTTAAATCTTCATAAAAGCTCGAAAGTTTTATCTACCGGAGATGTTATTATTTGTGGATATTTGATGAAAAGCAGACGTATTAAGTTGTTGCGTAAACTCCTGTGGAATGTATGTTCATTGTTGTTTTGTTTTCTTTTAAACGAAACTTTTTAATAAAACATCTTCAGCTTCACTGCATGAAACATTCTTCAGAATTCAGTATTCTAGTAAGTTGTTAATTGGTTTGTTAACTAATCCCTAGATTTGACTGCACTATTTGCTTCCATGCTACATATCAGTGATTTAGTTACTAGGATTTCATTTGTTAATTATTGGTTATTTATTGAGATCACTAACGTGCTTAAGTCAAAAAACCACTGAAAACCCTAAAGCATTGGATATCCGTTTCGTTCTGGTGTGGGACTCATTGGAATTAGCCACCCATAAACTTACCACACGTTATCAAACTTAGGACCTTTGGTCTTTCGCGTGAACGCTTAACCTCTAGACCTGTGAGCCAAAATCCAATCGTGTACATGTCTAGATTCAACCAATTTGAAATATTGCGCTATTGTCTACTGTCTTTAGTGGGTATCTTCTTTACATTCGACACGATCAAACTCTTTATCGCTATAACTCCAAGCATTTCCCCTCTAAACTAGTTACTAGTAAGCACATGATAACTATCATGATGGGGGGTTGTAGAGATTGTTGAATATTTAAATGAGGTCGGTTCGTGATATCGATAACATTTAACAATCTTCACAAACCCCAAGCTGATCTTTGGTTATTTAATCAACTGTAGTTTGTGTGTATGCCAAAACGTTTATTATACTCACGATACAAAACACGTCTGGCACAATAAGGCTCTAAGAAATATGACGTACAAAGCAAAATGATTTTATTGTTAAAAGATAAAGAAGGTTTTTCGCACACAAATCCCTTTATCATCTTGAAGAGAACAAGAACAAAAATTGCAGAACCGTAACATGAATTCACTTTGCTTTGTTAGGTTCTTATTAGCTGTTCACAACTTCTAATATCTGAAAGTCAAAATCAAAATTTTTTAAATTTTTATGTGCTCTCAAATTTATTTTCTTCAGTACTGGTCATCTTCATAGTTGTTTGTAGGCTGGAATTTTGCCCGGGCTCATAGACAGAAACAAGTAGTTTTCTTAGAAGTCCGCTCATCGAGCCTTGGACCAAAAGGTTTAATCATCCATGAGGCGGTGGCACGAAATCTGGAGATGCACTTAAGTGATACCTGGTGACCAATGATTGACTTATATGTCCGCAATCGCATTTTCTTATTTGTGTGGCGTATATTTTGGTGCTCATTAGTACTAATATTTCTGTGTTCAAACAGACAAACAATGACTAAAATTTATTCATGTCCTTGCAATACTAAGCTGGCATATAATCATAACGAATTCCAATCGCATTTATTATGCAAGTATTTTCAACCCACTTTAATTTTGAGTTATAAATTTACAAGTTGTAAGCAGCTGACAAGAACCTAACCAAATCAAGTGGTATCATGTTATCCTGCTGAAGTCTTTATTCTTACCCTTTTCAAGATAGAAGAGAGATAATCGTATTAAAAACGTACCAATAAAATGTATTATATGATATAATTGAAGTAAAATTTTAAATCTTGAAATTATTCTCTCCGAATTCATTCCTTCTTTTCGAATCACCTCTATGCCTAATGTTTTTTAATTTCGTCAGAGTTGGTGATATACTTTTGGTATGTCAAGTATAAAGTAGCTTTCAGAACAAAATGAGACTAGCTAGGGAACTATTGAAAATCGGTAAGCACTGGATAGCTATTTCTTTCTAGTTTTAGACTCTTCATTAGTATTCTCTCAACCTTACGGCATTGCGACGTTAGTTGAAAATTATTATTAATAATAATAATAATAATAGTAAAATATGTCCCAACATTTTAATAGGAAGCTATAGTTGTTGGAGTAAGTCAGGTTGGGGGTCTTACAGTAACTAGTCAATGTTATTAGTAGTTTGGAATATCGACCATTGCTGTTTATCCAGTAACTTGGTAGTATCGCTGTCACTTTGAGAATTGAATATTTTGAGGTTTACCAGTCATCTACTTGATGGTAGATACGACATTGACATTTCGAAACCGTTCTAAATAGTTAATAACCAAATGGTCTTTATTATCAGAAGGGGTTTTGTGGAGATTTAGTATTTTCATAGTCGCATCCACGACCTCGCGAGGCGAGTTTTTTTTTGTTAGGTTTCCACATAAATCTATTTTGAATATGAACATATTCACATTCTATTAGATTAGCTATATATCTGTAAACTAGTTATTTATTTATTTAAACACATACATATTGGTACAAGGAAGCACCAGATACATATGCGCCACACGTTTTTGTGTGAGGGTTGTGATACTGCCCGGGTGCCCAAACCGAAGCAGGTGGTTTTCGTAGTGGGCCACATCCTGAGCCTTTGACCTAAAGGTCTAACCCAAAAGGCAGTGGGGCAGTCCCATGGAAGACGGTGACCAATGGCTGATTCATACGCCATTTGTTCCTTCAGGATACTGGAGCCTATGTGCACCATTGGTTTGGAATCAGAGTTTTCCAACTCTAGGTGGACTTTCCGTGTCCACCAACCCAGTTAAAGCACCGGACATTCACTTTTCGTCCTCTCGATTTTGTAAACAACGCCTGTGGCACGAGAATTCTGTGAGTAGGACTTTCGTTGCAGAGGCTATATACGCGTAGCCATGTGAGAGCATTTTAAGAGGGGGAGCGGACTCTTCCCACTCTCGGCCGAACCAGGGCACCTGGGGGCTTGTTAACTAGTTAGTTAACTCTTACTACCGTTAACTAGTAAGATGTTTAAATCACTTCGAGAATTGGTTAATGCTTAAAAGATGAAATTGAACAGTTGATTCACTTATAAATTTAAATAAAATCTGGTATTTTATAAAACTGTTTATGTCATAGTGACTTTATAATGTTTATTTTCCTAAGTTTACACAAAATTTAAAACATGAATAATTAAATATTATGTACTGTTATGTTAGTTTATAAATATTGGTCACTTGATAGCAGCAAACCTAAGTTAACTGACCAGCTCATAGTTGTATCGACCTATGAATATAGTGTATAGATGAATTTAAACGACATGGCTATGTGTACATAGTATTTTAATGTTAATAGTTTGGAAATGGTCAGTATGAGATATTGATTCTCCTATACCGCTTTGCTCCTTGTTGCCTTTTAGCTTGGTGCATCGTCTCGTCTGATTGTTTTGCGAATTCCATTTTTATTCTTAATTATTTGTTTGATGATGGGTAATTCATGATCATACTCTCTTTATAAGCCATTTTGTGTGCATATGACAATTATAAATCCCTAATATATATAGTTTGTCAGTTGGCTAGTGATTCCCTCTTCTGCTATCTAGTCAGTTAATGCTCGGTTCATATATATCTGGTGCCTCCTTGTACCAATATTTGTGTTCAAATAAAATAAAGTCACTTAATGTACAGAGATCGGCGTCTTGTATAAATAATCCGCTCGAACATGTTAATCAATCCCACATTTTATCTATTAATCTATTGTTATAAGACAAACGTGTTCTCTTTAAGATCTAGACGTATTCCTCTTAGCACAACATTTGGACGTAGCAGTGCTAAGTGCAGTGTTACTACAACAGATAGGAATTAATCGCACGTTCAATAGCAACAATAACGTACAAACCGACTTACTAGAATCCGTCACATGTTTACATGAAGCTAACATAAACTTATACAAGCAACGTAGTATAACGATTTCAATGAAATACGTGAAACTTTCCACGGTTTCCCACTAGTGCATTATAATCTGGAATCAGTTTGTTGGTTTAATGAGAAGTATTGACTGTAGATTTGTATCTACTAACTGTGATCTGAATTCGGGCTTTTATATACGGAGAGCTTGCTCATAAATATAAGTTGACTCAAAAAGGCGGATATTTTACTTGGAGAATTTTTCAGATAAAGAAACACCCTTAAGAGGTTTATTCAGACTTTTGTTGACTTAAAGGCCTATTATCTCCGTCTAATGGTCATGATTGGCTACATCAATGTCAAACTTCTCCCAAGGATAAACACTTAGTTAAACGCCCTAAAATCCTCAAAAAGGGCTTGAAAATCCATTCCAAAGTGTCGAATTTCGGCGGATATATTCATGAGTAAATTGCAACGAAAATGTTTGCCTAATGTTGAAATTCTTCCGTTTACGTAAGCAAGAGATTAATTATTGTTTCAAACGCTGTTTTCGAATATTCTAACTTGAAAAGGTTTAACAGTTCCTATCAAATCCTCTTACAAACTATTTGCTTTTAAAAGCCTGACCAGTAAATGTGCCATTTTTAATCCTATTGAATCACTTGACTCAGTAAGTTAGCTAGTATGTCAATTTTCAAATCATATAGATTCTGTGCTTGTATATTTTGACTGCTTATACAAGCGTATATATATTAAACACTTGTGGTTCGACTTTCAATATTGTGTATGGTAAGTCAAAAATATATACAAAGTTTATTAGGATCTAAATTTTAATACTGGAGTCAAAATGAGATTGTAGCTTCACATTCCTACAAATAATTTCACTTCTAACCATCTTTATACATATTTTTAAGTGATCTCTCAGACTATATGTTATATGACGGTAATCTAAATTTGACTCAAAAGTCATAGTTCTCTTTACCTCCTCATTAAACTATAAGTGTTACATTCATTTACTATTGTTTGTTTGAATCTTCCCATTGATGTTTAGAACTGCAACTGTTCAGTCTCTATTTGGCATATGTGCATACTGTGCATATTGCCTCGATATAGCCTTAATTCACAAGCATTATAAGCAAAGTTGGGTAGTGGCTAGCAGTGGAATCCAGTTTGATATGCATATCGTTCTATTTGGAACTCGTCAGCTGGATGTACCTGCATCTCGGAGTTGATGTTCACTCCAAGACATGAAGCCAGTACCTTTTGCTTCAAACGCCATCGCCACTATCCATCTTTGCTTACCATGCTTGTGAATTAAGGCTATATCGAGGCAATACGCACACTATGCACATATGCCAATTCGAGACTAACCAGTTACAGTCCTAAACATCAATGGGAAGATTCAAACAAACAATACTAAATGAATTTAAACTTCACCCCATCGCACAAGCAAGTGGCTATTAGGACTCAGTGGCCGAGTGGATAACGCGATGGCGTTTGAAGCGAAAGGCACTGGGCTCGAGTCCCAGAGTGAAAATCAACTCTGAGATGCAGGTACATCCATCTGACGAGTCCCAAATAGGACGAAGTGAATGTCCTGGATTCCACTGCTAGCCACTATCCATCTTTGCTTACTGTATAAGTGTTGCAATTGACCCTCATGTCAAATCAAATAGTGTAAACATTTAGTTGTTCTGTACTGTTTATATAGTGAAGATTTTATGGTCTAAAATCTTTAGTTACACACATATATGTATGGATAAGTATGGCTTTATGCATATTCAATTTTCTTAGAAAACATTTATTTTTTTCGGTTTAGTAGTGAATAGTGTTTATAAATTAGGCTAAATCATATCCTTTTGTTGTTGTTTCACACTGATTAGAATAAAACGTTTAGTAGCCTACTATTTGTTAATGCATTACTACTTGTTCAAACATGTGTATGACAAGCTTAAAAAAACATAGATGAGAATAAAATTAAAGTACAATATTACGTATTCATGAGTTCTGAATTTGTAAGTCGGTGTTAAAAGTCTATGTCTAATCTTTTTGATTGTTACTGATACTACTGTTTTCAGTGCTGTAATATTTATCTTGATAAGCTCATCTCACTATGCTAATTTGATGTACTAACTTGAGCTAATATATATTCAGTTCGGGTTCCTACGTCAGTTATGACTGATTGACTTAGAGCTTAGAAATGTAGATATATATGTAGATATGGCCAGCCGACCGCCTCAACGCGTGATGTTTGTTGTTGTAGTAGTCTATAGGACGGAAGCTAGGGACAGAAGAACCAAGACGCGACGTCGACCCATACAGTCATTGAATTCTGAACTGATCTGTATAGGTGCTAACTACCACATTGGAGTCTTCACGATTATAAACCACTTAATCTATTTTGGAAATCTCTGCAGCCCCGGTAGGTTAGTGTCTGACGAAATCTCGACACAGATTCGGAAGCCTACATAGATTTTGGTCAAATTGCGCCACTTGTAGCGTAGGGGAGATGTCCGTCTGATGTGTGGGCGAGAATGATAATGATTGGTTTTCTGCTTATTCAGATATGTAGTTAGCCTGACATGTGTTAGATGACTTCTACATTAACCTGTCATTATTATTTATTATTATTGATTGTCCAGTTGTTGTTGAATTGTGTCGGGTTTTGGTATGGAAATATATTTACGTTCTAGTCAGGTTAATCACATGTTCTTGATCTGAGTTTTGTTGAAGTCCTGTAGAATAGAATGGGAGGGAATCTAGTATAGATATTCGTCTAAGGTAAATTAACGTCCCATTCGTGTAAACAAGTAAAACGGACCATTATAACACGATCTATTAGGCAAATGATGAGTTTATTGTACAACAGTTTCCTTTATGCTACTTTATGGATGTGAAATGTAGTCTTTAAAGATAGAGGATATTCGTAAGTTACTAATATTTGGTCATAGGTGTTTTTAAAACATTGCTCGGTCGTTTGGGGATCATCACTTGAGTAATGCCAAGGCTAGATAGAGGATACTGGTCAAGAATGTCGAATGGGCTAATAAGGTATTAAATCCTTATTGAATAGAGTGGTTGAAGTATGTCGTGTATGCCAAACCATTGTCTACCTGAACTTGCGATATTAGCTTGTGTAAAATTGGACTCACAGGGAGCTTGAAGTGATGAAACCAAAACGGGACGTCAGTTCATGAAGTCATTGACCGTTGGACTAAACCATATTAGTAGATTTTAACTACTTAGTTGGTGTCCACACAACTATTGTAACCATTAGTTGGAGACGTTGTTTGATATAGTTTAGAACCAGTCGCACTACCACAGGTCAGTCAGTCACAACGTAGAACTTCGTCGATTCAAATCCAACAGTGGTAGAAGTAGTAAAAGTAAAAAGTAGTAATCGGAAAGATTAGGATTTGAAGATGTTATTCAAGGAGTATAATTCAGTGAAATAAATTTGGAAAGAGGAAAAAGTAAGGGACATGAAGAATTCAGAAGATTAGAATTTGGGAGAACACAAGGAGTGGATGCACCTTCGCCATTACAAACGATTTTGAGCTATGTCATTCAAGGTCTCTAACCATCGGTTGCTATCATCTCGTGAATCCCAACCAGGTAGTCTACACCTACCAACATGGCTCAGTCCACTTGTCAGCGACTTCATGAATTTGTACCACGTTTTGTTTTGGCCGCCCCTAGCTTTCTTCCAACCTATTCCTACACCATAAAGCATTGCACGTCGTGGCAGTCGGTGGTTGGGCATACGTAACACGTATCCCAGCCATCTCAACTGATGAAGTTTCACTAATTTATCAATCGATTTGCCGTCCCTACCTAGTACGTGTTTCCTAACAACTGCATTGCTTACCCGGTGGTCTCAGGATATACGAACAATGCTTCGAAGACACCTATGATCGAACACTAGTAGCCTACGAATATCCTCTACTCTTATCGGCCATGTTTCACTGCCATAAAGTAGGACGGAACGAACTGCTGCACAGTAAACCCGTCCTTTGGTTGCTAGACAGTACGCTTCAAAATTATCTTATACTTTTTATCCCATGAACATATTCATTTTCTTTAAATCATATTATATATGCCTAACGTTTTCTCACGATTGCAGATACTACTATCACTACTTTTATTACTCTGGCGTTTGTTTTGATACTTTCATTTTGCTGTATTGATGTAATGTAACGACCTAATCTGATGCACATATGCTCGAGGTATGGCAACTCGAACTAATGTACGTACGTACGAAGTTCTACGTTGTGACTGATTGACGAGGTTCCTAAACTGCTTATAATAAACTAATTGAAATAATCATATTTTTTAATTTTGTATTTCTAACATATGATTAAATAGGACTGGAAAAGAAGATACTTCATTTTATACAAAGTTCATAGTCAAAATAAAACTGAAATATTTTTTGATTACTACAAAGATGAAACTGTGACGAAATTCAAAGGTAAGTGATTTATTATTGCCTACAGATGTACATTATTATAATTTTCTTTATTATATTATTTTTTAAAAACTCATAGCCTTCAGGCCTTGTGGTGAGCTTCTAGTAGGAGCGAAAATAGTATTGTCAGTAGAAATCGTCATTTCATTCGATTTATGTGAGGGCTGAGATACTGCCCAGGTGCTCAGACTGAAGCAGGTGGTTTTCTTAGGGGGCCACACCCGGAGCCTTTGACCTGAATATCTGTTCCATAAGGCAGTGGAGAATCGTGAGGAGATGCAGTCCCATGGTAACCGATGACTAACAATTGATTCATACTCCATTTGTTCCCTCAGGATACTGGAGCCCATGTGCACCATTGGTTTGGAATCAGGGTTTTCCAACTCCCCTAGGTGGATTCTCCATATCCATCAGCCGGATTAATGCGCTGGATATTCGCTTTACATCCTTTCAATTTTGTAAACAACACTTCTGCTGCGAGAAGGCAGGTAGTAGAACTTCTATAGCGGTGGCTGTATACGCGTTAATGTATATATCCTCAGTAAATATCGTTCAGAAATAAGTAATTTATTCTCCATTTTAGACAATATTTACAATACTATTCAGTAACTTTACCGTTCTAAATGGTTTCAATTTTAAAGGTGATTTTGATACGCTTAAACATATCTAAAGTGTAAATTCATTTAGTATTGTTTGTTTGAATCTTCCCATCGATGTGTTAGGACTGCAACTGGTCAGTCTCTATTTGGCATATGTTCATATTGTGCGTATTGCCTCGATATAGCCTTATTTCATTAGCATTGTAAGCCAAAATGGATAGTGGCTAGCAGTGGAATCGGTGACGCCCGTTTCGTTCTATTTGGGACTCATCAGCTGGATGTACCTCCATCTCGGAGTTCACTCTGAGACTCGAGGTGTCCCAAATAAGACGAAACGCGCGTCCTGGATTCCACTGCTAGTCACTATCTATCTTTGCTTACAATATCTTAAGTGTGTTTCTTTTTCTACATTGTCTGATTATTATCGTACCCCTAAATGCCATCTTTTCGTTTGTTGATTAAGGAAACGAAAAAAAAGTTTTCTGTCTTAAAAAGTTATTTTATTGTTTCTTATGGTAATTTATTTGTTATAAACATTATATATGATGTACATTCAATGCGGTAGACCTAAACAGACACAACAGTGTGTATATGCATACATATATATTCACTCTTGACAAAAAAGTAGACTTGTTTCAACTGTGCTACATTTTTTCTTTCAAATGGCAATACTGGCATAAACCTCCTTTAGTAAGTAATAAGTTACAACAAAAAAAAATTTGATTTGGATTGTACAGTTAAAAAGTTTATTAAAGTTAAATGATTAAAATATTGAAAATTGAAAGGATACAAGGAAACAAAGTTGGAGAATGTATCGTTTTTATTCTAGAGTTTGAACTTTACTCCATAAGGCTTATGGAGTTTGTTGAATTTTCAGTTTACATCACGTACGAATGCTATCGATAACCAAAATTCACTGGAAAGTTGTCTCATCTATGTATGGGACTTAGTAGCAGTGATCATCTTCTAATAGGTCCCCAAGTGTCCCTTTTTATAATTTCTAGAGTCCCAGAAACGTCAGGAAATGTTTTATGCAATCAGTGTTAAGTAGGAGCTTTGCAGTAACATCTAGAAAAGGAAGAATCACGTGTCACTGTTTTGGTTGTATATTTTCTTATTCTGTTACTGTGTTTAGCATGGTTCCAGAAATTCCTAGAAGCCCGAATACTGGCATAACCCTATATATATCCTCATTTTTCTGCACACAAACTAGTCTTGAAGTAAAGCTTTTACTAAATTCATACTTCCCATCTGACCTACTTGATGTGTAGCAGCAGTTAGGTTATAGGAACTGGATAGGTAGACAGGATTAAGTGTTTTGGTAATAGACTTATCAGAGTCCGCAAACCAACCACGGATCGAACTTAGAACCCTAGAGTTTCGATGTTGGGTGACCATATTCAACTGTACTTGGTGGGTTACTGCCTCACACTCTGTATGGTTGAACTCTAATTCTCATACTATGGTGTGGATTACTTATATCCACATAAGTAGTACATAATGATGGTCGGGCAATGAATGTATTTCAGTAGAAGATCCATAAGAAAATCACGGGAAAGAAACGCGATTGGTATAAAAATGCATGAACAATAATAATCGTAGACGATGGACTGATATTTGCAGAAGGAACGGTCAAGATTGAGACAATTGATTGATAGTTTGCAAATTAACTGAGATTTCCTGTAATTTTGTGCCTAAATTCATTCAATTTTCCCTACTCGTCTTCTTGTTCACTATGATTTTTCGCATCATTCAGGCAACTTGCGAGTGCAGAGAGTGTATTGAAAATCAAATATTATTCGTGCTAAGAAGGTGCTACATTTTTCAGTTTTTTTATGTTTTCGTTAATAAATGGTGGTTTTGACGTATTAGAAAGCCCTTGTTTTATCCTACTGACATTTACTATAAACTGATTGACTGTTTTCCCATTCAATTTACTATTTTTGTTGTTCTAAGGTCATGGTTATTTTAATACTGATTTGATTTCTGTTGGTAATGCTAAAGCTTATGAAGATCTCATCTCTTTTTGTACCTCTTATTCGCAAATACATAATCAAAGCTAAAATACTGTAGTGTATTAGTTATGTAATCTATTTAGTTCTCATAGGTCCGGTCTCGTCTCAGAAGAATTACCTGATCATTTATGTTTGTAAATTATCGTGAGCTATCTTACATCGTAATAATTAGTTATCTATTTTCTTCTTAGTATTGTACACTTATAGCTTTACTCGAGGTCAGATACTTTACTTTCTTAGATCTTTAAGTGGATTGTTAAAATACTGGACTTTTCAAAATTGAATCACAGATTTATATTCTGATTTACTGGATTATAAACTAATCGTGTTCTGTATTTGTTTGGTTTCGTACACTATTATTGCCCCCAAATGCTCTGGTACGGCCGAGAGTGGGGAGAGTCCGACCTCTCCCTCTCGAAATGCTCTCATATGGCCAGCGAATATATAGCCTCTGCCAGGGAAGTCCTACTCACTGCCTTCTCGTGGCGGTGGTGTTGTTTACGAAAGTGAGAGGACGAAAAGCGAATGTCCAGCGCTTTAACCCGGTTGGTGGACATGAAAAGTTCACCTAGGGGAGTTGGAAAACCCTGATTCCAAACCAGTGGTGCACATGGGCTCCAGTATCCTAAGGGAACAAATGGTGTACGAATCAACCGTTGATCACCGGCTACCATGGGACTGCATCTCCTCACGATTCTCCACTGCCTTATGGAACAGATATTCAGGTCAAAGGCTCCGGGTGTGGCCCCCTAAGAAAACCACCTGCTTCAGTCTGAGCACCTGGGCAGTATCTCAGCCCTCACACAAATCGAATGAGATTTGTGAGGCGCATAATTATCTGGTGCTTTTTTGTACCCATATTTATGTGTTTAAATAAAAAAAAATAAGTACACTATTATTGGTCTCTATAAATTTTAATTTATGTAAAGCGAACGTCACTAGTATACTGTAATTTAACTAGTCCCGATCGTTGCTGCTACCTTGACGTGGTGGTCGGGCTTGCCTATCGTGATGAAGCAATCGAGCTATGCTGGCTGGAACAGTCGTTCCTCGAGGTCCTACCATGCCAGACAGGTCGGTTGAAGAGCGGTGAGACTAAAAGCAGCAAACCCAAGGTCCGAAGGCGAAGTCGTACTGCTGACTGTACAGAGGTGTGACGGCAGTAAGGTGTTTCCTTCAGACAACCAGCATGACAGCGATGCTGCCTTCCCACAAGGAGGGGTGGGGTTAGAAAAGGTCGACCCTAAAAATGCACACCTCGCCTTATCCCACGGATTTCCGTCTCCGGCGTAAGGTTTTTTTTTGAAGAACGGAGCTAACACAAAAACTACCCACAAAAAGTTCGTGTGTGACCGACCTCAAGCAGATGTCCCTTGGGCACTGCGGTCACGCTCTCAGGTCATTAAGACCACTCCTAACCCAATTTCCTTTTCAGGTACCTCTAGAAGAATCCTTCCACGGTGTGGGCAACCGGGAAGTGATAACTGCCCTCATACCTCTAACAGCACTCAAGACCACTGTATTCATAATCAATCTCCTTCTTCAATTCCTACTATTCCCTCTACCTTGACTTTCAACACTAAACTTCCTCTCTCGGTTTCCTCCTCAAGTGTCACCATGGCCAACGATTCTAGTGCGCGAAACGCTGTCCCAGGTCTACTTAAACCTCGCTCCAAACTACACATTGGAGCCTTCAACGTACGTACCCTATGCCAAATCGGTCAACAGGCCTCCTTAGCTAAAACCCTAGAATCTCGTACCATTGATGTATGCTGTGTCTCCGAAACACGCATACAGGATCCCAGTGTGGTCATTCACTTGACCTCACCTCGCCAAAATGGACAGCCGACGAAATACACCCTCCGTGTATCTGGCGACCCGTTGGCTAGTTCTCGCTGACTTGCAGGTGTTGGCATAGCACTAAGTACAAGGGCAGAACAGGCACTACTAGAATGGATCCCCGTTAACAGTCGCCTGTGTGCTGTCCGGCTAAATGGCTCCATAAGAACTCGGAAGGATAGGGACACACGTCGTTGCCTTTTCGTCGTTTCTGCCTACGCTCCCACTGACTGCAGCCATGATGAAGTAAAAGATGACTTTTACAGAAAACTCTCTGAGCTTCTTCAGAAAGCTAAGCGCTCAGACATAGTAGTCGTAGCGGGTGACTTTAATGCCCAGGTAGGCAGCTTAAATCAAACAGAAAGACATTTAGGTGGGTGTTTTAGTATTCCGGCTCAACGAACCGATAATGGTGATCGTCTGTTGCAACTATGCTCAGACAATCGTTTATTTTTAGCAAGCACTAATTTTAAACATAAGGAGAGACATCGTCTAACATGGCGACCACCTGCACCAAACCAACGATGGACTCAAAAAGACCATATTGTCA